CACCATTTATTGAGTGTCTGTGGTGAAATGGGCATTATACTAGTCTCTAGGGATATATAAATGACAAGAGAGTCTCTAATCTCAAGTGGCTCCCAGTTCCGAGAGAGACAGATACAGATTTCAAAAGACGCTAACACTTGATGAGTGTTCTAGTAGAGACATCAGGTGTGCCTGAGGTGCCATGGGGTTGGGAAGGCACCTAGAGGACAATATGTCTAACTGGCTTATCAAGAAGGCTTCCTTCTCTCAAAGCACTGCTTGGGTGGGGGTCTCAGAGATTCATGGAACGTGTGGATGTGTATATGTTGGTGAGAGGGTTTTTTTTCCTAGAGAGGAAGAAGCCACAAGATATGACATACAGGGCAGCTAGCTGTGTTTTTCCACTTATGTATGTTGAACATACTCGACATGCTTGAAATTCTGTTTTGAAAATAAATGAACTAGTGGCTGTTGATTTAATTAAATTTAATTAAACAGATTAAATGGTGGCAACTAGATCTCAGGTGTATTGTTAGGATTCCATTGATAAGGTACTCCAATAGGTTACAACTGGAGGAAGTGTTGTACCTGGTGCAGTTCAACTGGTTATATTGTGCCGTGTTGCTAGCAGTCTGGTTCTGAGTCCCAGTTGCTTCTGGTAGATCATTACTGTAATATCAACCCCAGGCTCTACAGCCTGGGCCAGGTTCTCATTCCTGCATGAATGTAGAGGAGCCAGGGAGTGTTTTCTCTGCCTGCATCTGATTGGAATTAAAGTTTATGTTTATTACTAGGTTCTCTTCTAAGTGGCTGCCAGTAGAGTCAACAGCAGGCTATGGTAGTTGTGTGAAGAGTTAGAGACACTGCCAGAAACTCCATGCCTGCTTGGTTTTATGTGGCTGCAGCTGTGACTATTACATGTGTGGATTTTTAAAAATGAGAGGATAGAAAACAGGAAAAATTTCTTTTCCAAAAATGTAAATATTGGATTACTTACTGCCTTCTTCTACTTTTAAAATTAGTTATCTAGCTTATTTGTTGAAATAACAAAATTTAGGCATTTTGGAGCCATTTCTGACTTTTACAATTTCAGATCCCTTGGGCCCAGATCTTATTTTTTCCTGCCCACAACCAATTTTAAGTCATTCTGTGTCTATTTTTTTTGTTACATTGTATAAAAGCCATACTTCAGGACAGTTTATTGTTTACAAATCTATTAGAATTTTTTTTAACTTTTTTTTTTTTTTTTTAAGTGAGGCAACCCTTGGTTGACCTCACAGATTGCAAGGACCTTGTCAGTTTACAATCCCTTTTTTTAAATTTTTTACGCCTGCAGCACCTGGTCTTGCTAGGTGGTCTCTCATCCAAGTACTAACCAGGCCCGACCCTGCTTAGCTTCCTAGATCAGACAGGATTGGGCTTGTTCAAGGTAGCATGGCCGTAGACTAGAATTTTTTTAGTTGAGATATTTCAGCAGATACCTTCTGATGGCTAGGTGTCTTTATTCATGGTGATCATGCTATTTGTAATAATTTACTGAGCATTCATTTGATAAACTATCCTAGTTTTTGTTCAAATATACATGTTCAGAGAGTTCTGTCAAACTTTGTGGTGCATTGCATTTTCACGTGCAATTTTACTAGACTATCTATTGCCTTCTTTTCCTCCTCTGTAAGTGAACACAGTAATAGTTCCTGCCTCAGGATTGTGTGAGGATTTCACACATATAGGTAGGATTATTTATAGTACATTAATCAATTTAGCACTTATTCTAGGTTCGTGCTAAAAAGAGCTTTACAGGTGACACCTCATTTAATCCTTCCCAAAATCCAGTTAAGTATATGCTGTTGTTCTCCCTATCTCACAGTTGAGGAAACTTACATGCTAAAGAGGTTAAATTACTTGCCTTGGGTTAAGGAGCTAATAAATGGCAGTCAGGATTTGATTCCACACCACTTGAGTCCAGGCTTTTATGCTTGGGCTGTGCTTACATATGTCAAACCCAGTTTATTCATAGCATAGAATCCCCCTTTATATCTGCTGGCAAAATGGATCGCCCAGCCTGTCAGGCTGTAGGACAAGCAGCCTAAATAGAGCATAAGACCCTTGATGGCATCTAGGATGGGAAAGGCAACTTTTTCTCTCAGAATTCAAATGAATCTGGCTTTCCTTCACCTCCCCAGTGTGCCACGTTGTTCTTGTCAGTCAACACTCAGTGCTGCTCTGCTTAAGTGGGCACTAGTTAGATGGTCAGGTCTATTTTTGCTACAAGTCATGTGAGGAATTGCTGCTTTGTATACCAGAGCAATCTCTTAGCCTGAGACACATATGCAGGTTTTATAACTGGTATTTTCCGTCTTTAATATGTACTGGGATGATTTGTCTTCACAATGATAAAAATACTTGTAGGCGATAATGATTTTTCCCCACCACTGTTAGTCATCCTTTAGCCAAACTGAATAAATGTTTGTCTTTTTCATCTTTCTTTATGAAGCGGAAGACACTGAAATGCAATCATTTATGTAGTGGCTTATGTGGTTTCCTAGATGCTGTGTGTTCTGTGGTGACATGATGCCTGTTTATTTTAGGAGGGAGGAAGGGAGAAGGAAGAAGCCGAAACCCTGTTGATGCAGCGATGCGGTGGGAAATTTAACAGCCGCAAGGATTTACTGGCTAAGTCTAAGGAAATAGCTACTATCTGTCAATGAAGTTTAGTATGTGATCCTGTCATATGTAAAATATTTAATGACCTGTTGTGCCAAACTTCAAAAGCCAGAATCTTCTGGTGGTTTTGTTTTTCTTCCTGTAATCTTATCTTTGAGTAGTTGCAAAATGAAGTATTTTTAAGTGGCTGTGCTAGTTTTTTTATTTTTCTCAAATTTTTATTGTCCACAGATACGCTAAATACAGGTATCTTTTGTTATACAGATGTTTGGTTCTGAGCTCTTCATAGTAAGAGTTTGGATATTGAGGAATTTCTCATCTGAAATTTCTTGCTTGCTAAATTTCAGATAGTAGCAAGAATTCAGATACGTATATGTGTACACATACACATATACATACATATGCACACATCAGGAAAATGTGTATACATCATTTTGATTTCTAAGTTTTAGTAGTTAGGGATACTTATATGCCAGTGTTTCTCAGCCTTGGCATTATTGACATTTGAGACCAGATAACATTTTATTATGGAGGACTGTCTTGTACATGATAGGATGCTTAGCAGCAACCCTGGCCTTCACCTGCTAGATACTAGTAGTATATCTCCCCTCCCCCAGCAGTTATAACAATCAATTATGTTATGACGTTGTCAGATTACCCTGGGGTAGGGGTGAGGGAGAATAGAAGATGGCCAGTTTGCCCCTGGTTGAGAACTTTTGCTGTATGCTATTGCACGTAACTAAATTTGTAGGTAGTTGGAAACTCAGAAGAATAGCAAAGACTGTTACAGCCACCTAGAGGTACCTCATTTCGTCAATTGCATGGAGATGATTTTTAAGGAAGAAAAATAAAAAAAGAGGAAGAGATTGCCTTTAGAAGTTAAACACAAAAAGGTCATTACTTTTTTTACATAAAAAGACTATCACATATTAAACCTTATAGTTATATGATAGCTATTTCCTTTAGATTTGGCCCTATTCTGCCTCTTCCATTTGCCATCCTCTGGAAATTACCAACAGTGCTTATTTATAGGTTCTTTTAGTACACTGAGAAGCAGTTTCAAGTCACCAACTAGTTCTTCCTTACTGGTTATGATTAAACTTCAGCTAACTCTTCATTTTGTTACTTTGAAGAGTTGAAATTTTTAGCAAGGCAAGAATTTATCAGAAGATGTGCTTCAAGGTCCTCCATCAGCTCCTTGGATGGAGTTGCCTGTCACTCTGTGTTTGGCCTCTGTGCTGCTTCGGTAATTGATACTGGAAAACATACCATTCCTCTAACTAGGCAGTGTGTGCAATATTATCCTTCCATTTTCTCCTTTGCTTTCTCTCACACATTACTATTCTTGCATAATGAGTGGCAGATAAATGCCTTCTTATATATTGCTGTTCTCATTCCCTTCTTTTGAGCTTGTATTTCAAAGGTGTTTCCACCATTTTGTGAAATTCAGCATGCACACTGAAAAAAGTCATCCTTTTATTTTGGAAGTGAATAGAATATAAGGCTATTGACTTTTTTCTTTTTTTTTTTTTTTAAACTCATGACACCAGTGTCTATTATAGTTATATAGATGCAGAATTAGTCTGACTAAATGGCTCTACCTTTCCAACAACCTTGGTGTATTACTAAGACTTTCAGATCTTTAGACTTTTTTTCTGTTATACATTTGTGACATAAGCCTTCAGAAATATAAATGTATATTTTATTTTGTATCTGAAAAAGCATCATATTATTAAATTTATAACAGGTTTTATTTAGTGAATACATTTTTTTCTCACTGATATAATTATCACTGCTTTTATGTTGTTGATGCCCTCCCCCCCCAATTAAGTTATCAATATGTGAATCTAATATATAGTAATTTTGACAAAAAATTTGCTTTGTGTTCAAGATACTGTGCTGTTTATACTATGACTATCATATCTTTAGCACAGAAATAGTAATTATAAATAAGATATATTTTTTGTTATATTGCCATTTTGGAGATACTTAGTTATATTGAAATTTTCATTGAATCTTTTCTAGAATTAAGTTCATATATCTTAGAAACTTAGCAGAGAAAATTTTCCTTAGGGCATGCCAGAAGAGAAGCAAGTAGTTTTGATAATGAAATGGGGCCTTACAAAAATATTTCTAGCACAGCTATAATAATTCAAATAAGAACAACTGAAATGAAAAAGAAGGAAAAGAGAATTGTTTTTCTTCTTTGAATATCAGTGTTTTGGGTAATGTTGACAGCAGAAAGCTGAAAGACCATTCTAATTTGCCTGTTTTTTCCTGTGCATCATCTAGAACTTTCTATTTTAATCTGTCTTGTAACCAAAATAATAGAAATATGATTTTTATTTTCATGGTAGGAGATGGAATAAACTGAGACTGCAGGACAAAGAGAAGTGTCTGAAGCTTGAAGATGATTCTGAGGAAAGTGATGCTGAATTTAATGAAGGTTTTAAAATTCCAGGTTTTCTGTTCAAAAAGCTCTTTAAGTACGTGCCATGTATTCTTTCCTTTATATCTGTGTTCTTTCCTTTATATCTATCATCAAGCCATTGTGTACAAATTAATATTTTAGGAATTACACAGTAGTTACCTGTGGACCCTTAAGGTACTTGCAGCAATTTATTGCAAATACAGATACTGTCAAATAAAATTTTAGCCACACGCTGTTCATTAAAATTAGATGATAATAAATTGACTAAAATGTGCATTGGGTATATTTGTAAATTGGTGAATCTATAATAGACCTGTCTCAGCAGACTAAAAGCAACACATTTAAAAGCCATCTACATTGAGTTTTTTTTTTGTTCTTAATAATTTCAAGGAACCAAACTTCTCATTTTTTAGGTTAAGAAAAGTTGTATATTAAAATCAATATTGAGGAGTTTTTCTTTACTTCTTTGTGAAAATAAAAAACTGTCGAGATTATTTTCTGAGTGCCCTGTGTTATACCTAAGAGTATAATACTTTGAGCCGACCAAATGTGCATCTGAATATTTTATGCAGATGTTGTTCTAATATCAAAAGAGAAGATATAGGCAAACACCTTCAGGATTAAGCTGCTATTTGAAACTGACTTTGTTTCATATGTGAGGTGGCCCAATGTTATAGATAACCAGATACTGTGTGATAGATGTATGCCTATTAGCCTACAAGGCCCAGGCAAGTCTCCCATGATGAATGTAAATACTGAGGCACATTTTCAATCTCATCACTCCTGGGACTTACTTAACAAGGTACTTTAGGGAGGCTTCCTCAATGCGTATAGGAAGTTAAACCATTAAATAACTTCTTTTTGTCTCTCATACCATCACTTGAGTGCAGGATGCAAATTTCTTTGAGATGGTTATGTTTAATCTCCTTCATAGATTCAGCTGTTGGCATGCCTTAAACTTGCACAAGAAGTCTATTTAAAAATAGCATGTTTTTTATATTTCCTCTCAAAGAGCTTTTATACTAGTTTTAATTTTTCTCAGAGTTGGGGGGAAAAGGTCAGGGAGTAGTTATTTTATTCCACTAAACATACAGGAAAGCTAAGTCCTAAACATATAGGAAAGCTAAATCTTGATTGGGTTGCCATAACTGGACAGAGGAACTGTAAAGAAATTCATATCTGAATCTCTCCAGTAATTTTTGTAGATATTTTATAGTTCGGAGTGGTGGCTCTTTTGTTTATTGCTTTTCCCAAATGAAAATTAACTACGAAAAGGTAAATAAAGACAACATTTATTGGCAACTCTTTTAATCTTCTCTAAAGTGATTGCTTATTAAGAAACAGGCAAAATAATATCAGTGTTGTACTAGCAAAAGCAATACCCAAATTATAGATTAAATTGATTTATCAAAAACAGGATACTTCTACATGTGTAATAAGTGATTTGGCAAATATCCTCAAGACTCAAGTTGAATGTATATTTTTTTTTAAATGTGAGATTTTCTAGCAAAGAACTTTCACAGTTACAACCAGACTTTGCTTACTAAAAGTATATATGATTCAGTGTATTGACTATTAACCTTATTGTAGTTAATGTAAACACATTTTTTTTTTTTTAATTTATCTTAATCGCACATTCCTGGAAAGTATTTTGTTTTCATCTTTTATCTCTCAAAAATTGGATTTTAAACATTTCATAAATGTTATAAAACTTATGTTTCTTTTCTTCTACTATATATATGTAAATAATAGGATTGATAGTCTCCATTTTTCTTTTATGATTAAGTTTTTGCCAGGCCAATTTAATTTTAAGCTGTAGTTATATTTTTTACTATATTTACCGCACTCTGTGGAATTAAATTAACAGGATATTGTTGTACACAAGGGAGTCAGAAGGTACAATTATCCATTTAAGTGCTATTTTCTACAAGATCATGTTTAACTTTTAAAATTCCCTTTTGAAAGTATGCCCAGCAAATGCATTCATCTGTATAATTTAGCAATCAAATGACAGAGTTCACTCCTTTGACCTTACTTTTAGCCACACTAGTAAATGCAGTCTTGGGTTAGTGTGACAATGCCAAGATATACCAATTATCTGTGGTTATTTTGTGATGCTTTAGTCTCAAGGGGAAAGCAAAGTATACTGATTTCTTTAATATTATACAAGTTTATAAAAATCTTTAAATTTTCCTAAAGAATAATTTTTATATGCTTTTCAAAGGTTTTGAAAACTGAATTCAATAACCTGCTTTCGTTTAAAGTATATAATTGTTTTAGTGTTTATTATTAGGAAATTAAGGCAACAAAACTTGTCAGTTAGTGGCACTGCTGGACTAGAACCTAGGCTCCCTAAATCCTCATCCAGCCTACCAGCCAGTGTGCTGGTGCAGTCCGAGGGCCTTTATGGAAAGAAAGAGCCTCTTTTTGCTATCTTTGTACAATGTCCCCAGTTGTTTGGGGAGATTTCCATGTAGTGATGTTACTTAAGAGGCTGCCTAGTAGATATTTTTTCTTAAGTCATTTCTTCAGGTTAATCATCATCTTATAAACACATAATCATATGCAATTTGAGCACCCTTGGAGATTACATTTCTAGACAAGTTAACACCTAGCACACTGTTACTGCCTCTCCTGGGTTACATAGAATTCAGATATCTTAACTCCCTCCCAAATTCCTTTTGGGATACCATACTGGTCACCATTTCTTATTTCTTTCATAATTTCTCCATTGCTCCTCTCCAGATTCTTCTCACTTTACGTTGATTGGCCCCAAACAAAGAGAGGTGTTGGATGGAGGCAGTGCAGAGTAGTTAAATACTAAATGAACTTTGGGAACTTTTGGTCCCTGCTCTTTCCAGAGGATCTGTTTCCAGAGTTGTTCTGTACTTCAGTAAAACGAGGTCCACTAACTAAAATTTAGCAATTCTGGAAACTGTACAGTAGTCCTCCCTTATCCTAGGGGGATATATTCCGGGACCCCCAGTAGATGCCTGAAACCATGGATGGTACCAAACTTTCACTTTCTTATTTAAGGGAAACACATACTGCTTCTCTTTGACATATTTGAATTGCCAGCATGAGTACTCTTGTGCTTTGGGGCCATTTTTGAGTAAAGGAAGGGTTATTTGAACACAAGTACTGTAATACAGTGAATTTGATAACTGAGAGAACTACTGAGTAAAAGGTAGGGAGTGTATACAGTGTGGATACGCTGGACAAAGGGATGATCCACATCCTAGGTAAGACGGACTAGGAAGGCTCAAAATTTCATCACACTACTCAGAATATGATGTGCAATTTAAAATTTATAGATTGTTTATATCTGGGACTTTCCATTGAATATTTTCAGACTGTGGTTGACTGCAAGTAATTGAAACTGCGGAAAGCGAAACTACTGATAAGGGGAGACTACCATACATCATTTTTTGGAGAGTTTTTCGAATACGTCTTTTTCCAAAGCTGAGATTAGTCTAGTGTAGCCAGTTCAGAACCAGCTTTGATTTTACATCTGGATTTCTCATCTTCAGCCCAACTGATATTTTGGGCTGGATTATTCTTCGTTGTAGGGACTATTCCTGTGCATTGTGGGATGTTGATTAGCATCTCTGGCCTCTACCACTAGATGACAATAGTACTTTTCCCAGTTGTAACAACAGTAGGTATTGCCCGATGTCTTCTAGGGAGCAAAATAACCCCCTGAGTAGTTCTTCCAATCTTCACCATTGGTCAGGATTATCTCTAAAGTGGTTTGGAATCAGAGGTTCTGGATTTCACTTTTGGTTATTTTTTTCTAGCAGTGTGACCCTTGGCAAATTACTTAACCTCTCTGTGCCTGTATTTTCTAACTACCAGATGGGCTGATCATCTCCCTGCAAGGTGGTTTTGAGGCTGTATCCAAACTGCCTGGCCTGGTGCCTCCCTGGCAGTAGGCTTCTTAAGTGGTAGCCTTTATTCTCTGGTCATATACCACGTGTTAATAGAACCTTTTCTTCTTCTCAAATTAAATGATCTTTCTACTATACTTACTGTATTTTGAATTTTAATCATCTTGTCTAGTGTTTGTATTCAAAGTGTATATTATTATTAGCAAGCTTAGTAAGCAGCAAAATTCTCAAAGTTTTTTTTATATGGTAGATAATAATGCAACAGCTAGAGTTAGACTTTTGGAATTGATTGCAAAATACTGGGGAAAGTTAATTATGACATTTATTGAGAAAAGATTAAATAAAACTAGTTCAACAAGGACTGAACTTCATAATGAGATTTTAGGTTAGAAATACCATGTACCAAATAGATGGTAAACATTTGGGCAATAAAACCATAACCACTTTGTTTTTAAGGTGGGAGGATCATGAGTCTTGGTATTTTCTTTGGAAAAAAAAAAAAAATCCTTTGATTTCGTTGTCTTTTATCTTAAGTGTTTTCTGCTTTAGATTTTTTTTTTATATTGGCATATAATCTTTATACCATTCAATGATGTTAAATCTTTATTTCACTCTCAAAAATTCTTTTTGTATTACTCCCTTTTAAAACTTCATTTTTAGATTATAGATTAAACATGCCATTGATGGAGAAAGGAAAATGCCAACTTCTTTTTTTTTTTTTTTGTAGAGGGTACTATGTTATTTCTCTTTGACCTGTACCATTTATTTAAAATTTTAATAATTCTGATATTTTTGTATCTATGAAAAATCCCTGAATCAAGTTCTTCTTTAAAATATTAAAAAGCCCTTTATATTGTTGAGTCTTTAAACTACTTTTTTGCATCTGTTAATAATATGGCAGAATCATCTGTTATGTGCTAATTTTGTGAGCAGCCCTATTATTCAGAACTGTTTAGGGCCTTAAAATATAATTTAATTTTTTCTATAAAAAGACAATATGATTATCAAATGACTTTTCAACAGTATATGCTATAAGTGGTGGTATTCTCTGTCCTGCTTTTTGATGCTATTCATGCCCCCTTTTTAATAGAGAAATTATTGGAACTTAAAAAACAAAATATTTGAGATTTTTTTCCAGAAAGACACTAAATAAAAGATAATAAGTTTATGCTTGTTTACCAAGCTGTTTTTAATGTTGAAAAAGAAATGAAATAGTCCCTAATTACCCCATCTATCAGTTTAATTAGAAATGTGTTAACATTCTGTAAAAAAAAAAAAAAATTGTGATTTTTATGCCTAGATAATCAAAAATGTATGACTTTATAAATATAATACTCATGTAAAACACACATCCGGCATGTTTCTCTGACTGGTACTAGAACCAAACCAAATGATTAATTCATAAGTACTTTCTGTTATGATCTGTTTTATCCACCGTTTGCCATTTTCTTTTTCTTGTTGGTATTTGTTGTTGTAGGTACCAGCAGACAGGTGTTAGGTGGCTATGGGAATTGCACTGCCAGCAGGCAGGAGGAATTCTGGGAGACGAAATGGGATTGGGCAAGACCATCCAGATAATTGCCTTCTTGGCAGGTCTGAGCTACAGCAAGATCAGGACTCGTGGTTCAAATTACAGGCAAGTGCTCCTCTGTAGACTGTCAGTCTGTGGAGCTCAATTAATATTTCATCAGATGTATTGCTGTGGAGGAGGGTCTTGTGAATTATTGATGACATTTCAATTACAATATTCCTTTAATTCTTTTAGTGGGGGACATCAAAGGAAAATTTTTACGAGACAATGGAGCTGTAGGGCAGGAGAATTAAACATGTAACACTTTTAATGAATTCCAGGCATTGATGCTTCATTTTGCAGATGAGCCCCACTAGATATTTTGGGTCAATACAGTGTCTAAGGTTAGCGTCTACAAATGGATTGTTTACAAACTCAATTATGTTAATATCAATAGTTTACACAATATGGAATTTTAAATTAGACATAATACTTTTAGTTCCATTTATTAAATTTTATATTAAAATATTTGTTCTGGCAGGAGACCAGGTGAGCATTACAGTAAATACAAAGTCTATTCATGGGGAAAGTTGGAGCTTAGGAGAAGCCATTCTCCTGAATTTCTTTTATAATCAGTATGCATAAACATTTATAGATAGAGCTTTTTTTAAATGAAATTACTTGTCTGTTCACTATGCCTTCCACTCCCTCTCCTAATCTTTAAGATTTTTATGTAAATTCTAAGCCAAAGCCTGAATGACTAAAATTATAGAAAACTATGTTTAGATTTTAATTTTTCTTCTCTTTAGCAATTTAAACTGTTAAAGCTTTAGTACTCTGAAAGTACTTAACCTCTGAAAGCATTTAAACTGTGTTAGTTCAATATGATAGGACTGAAATGCTTTATTTTGAAATCAGGACAGTGACTGTTTCCATATTTAAGCTATAATTTTTCTTTATGTAAATCACTATTGGTAAAAATAATGCTAGGTAAATTATGCAGACTATTTAATCTTGAACCCAGTTAATCTGAGAGCTTTTTAGATTCCAATAGGTGTTTCTAATGAATAACAGCAAGATGTTTACCAGATAATTGTTCCTTAGGAACTTTCTACACTCACTAGATATGATTTGGAGACACCTTTAAAATGGTACCTGTGTGCCTGAAGCCAGTGACTACTGAGGTTCCTATGCTACTTTCTGGTTGATCGGCAGAGAAATTCTTAGTAGAGAGTCAAGTACGAATCATAAACTATTGAGTGAAGAACTTTTTTCCAATATTTAGAGTTCAGTGCTTTGTTTTTATTCCTTGTTTTTTCATTAATTTAACATATCACCACTTCATGAAGAGTATTTAAAATTTTAGAATATTTTAGAAATATTTATATAAATGTAAGAAGGGGACAAAACATTTGAAGATTTTCAAATACTAAATATTGATATTGTTAATACAAGAAAGTTGTATTGAAGTCGAGGTGTTTCTTCAAATATTAGAATTCTATTACATTTTGCCTGGAAACACTTGGAAACATTCTAACCCAAGGGAAAAGTCAAAATTGAAGATGGGCGTTTAGTGTTTTCTTTTCTGTGACTGTCCTTTAGCATTTGTAAAAATGCTTTTTCTGTTCTAAATAAGCTGTTTGGTTAGCTTGGCTCTATAACTCTACTTGGGTTTTTTTCATAATGAGAATGTCTCAAAATGCCCCAGATAGTTTCTAGGACTGTCTTTCCTTCCTTAAATGATTTCTGGGATTTTCTTATTTCCCATCTCTTTTCTTCTTATTATTATTATCATGAAACTTGTGTGTAATCTAATACTCTGGGCCTAGGAAACCTAAAGTCATCCTCGCAGTGTAGTTTTGATCTAAAAATTAAAATATGCTCTCTTGAGTAGTGACAATCCTGCTACGAGTGAAGTCAGGGCTAATAATGAGCAGCAGCTGTAATCAATTAACTATCAATGCTCATATCCTCTTTTCTATAATGAAATAGTGTGGCATGTTGGACTGTAGCCCAGATTGTCTTCATTAAAATAGTCTTGGTAGAAGTGGCTTCCCAGAATGTGGTTATATATCAACCAAACAACTGGGCTCTTTATGAATAGAGCTGTACTGAGGAGCTTGGTCCCCTCCACTTCCATGTACCAGAGCAAATTGTGTAACATTTTTCTGTTAAGTTTATAACATGTCCTTCCCCTGAAGCTCAGTGAACTTGGAGTTTTCCTCTATGTCCTGAAGAAAAATAGACGAATACTCAGATGAAGTTCAAATGAAATTGAATAGTCAAGTGCTATGAGCCGGCATTGCTTCATTGGCTGTGTACATTTCCTCTGAACTCTTGCAAACTATAGATTTTTGGGTCATAATTTGAGATGGTCTTAGTGTTGCAATTTTAAGATCCATGATTATTAAAATTTCTGTAAGTCTCTGAGATACCAAGAAGAAACGTCATGGTAAAAGAAGGTTTGTTGTTGTTGTTATTGTTTTTTTTTTTTTTTAATGTGTTTTGCGTGTGTTTATTTTTAAGAGGGAGAAGCATATTACATGAGGTTAATAAAAATCTATACTGGTTGTGTTCCCAGTTCATAATGTACACACTATCCTTCTTTTCACTTTACCATTGATATAATAATAATAAGCCCCCCTCCCCAATTTTATGATGCAGAGGAAATAAATTATTTATCTTTCAAACTTCAGTTAATACTTTTAAAGTCTTGGATGTCATTTCATAAACTCTTAATTACATATAAATGGCCTGAAAAAGTTAACTTAGTTCAAAGGTAAATATTTTACTTTGTAATTCCTGGTAAGTTCTAGGCTATGAATAGTAGATTTCCATCCTGCAGGTAGAAGAAATATTTGACCCTGGAACTGTTGGCTTGTCTTAAATTCATTAGGTCATCAATGATAATCAAAGATGAAAGGAATTGTAGCCAGTTGGTCATTGAAGCTAATTACTTTAGTACATTTAGCCATTTCTAAAGCTCTCTCACCAGTATTGAGGGTTGGAAAAGGGTGGTTCAGTTGATGCGACTGTTAATGGATTTGATTGCCTCTCCTGTGGTCCAGGAACAATGTAGGTCTGTTCCTAGATTTCCACTCAGCGTGAAAACCTCCATAGTCTTTTATTAGAGGGAAAATGGCAGAATTGAAAGGGCATAATAATGCCATATAGATGTTCAGCCAGAATAAAATATTGGCCTTACATGACAAAGTATGACTCACCATTGTAGCAGTTTGCAGAAAGCATGTCATAAAAAGGGGGAAAAAATGCTATATAACAGATAAAAGTATATGTATGTATTTATACTTATTCGAAAGTGAATTTGTTTTTAACTATTTTAGACAGGTTTTGATTGGTTGCTTCCTAATCTCTGCTAAGTGCTTATTGATGATAACTCTCTTTTGTACTCCTTGGAGAATATAAAGAAGCTGGTGCATTTAATCCTTTTAGAAAGGAATATTGTCTTAGAAGCCTGCACAGGACGAGTCCTTGTTAAAGAGCAGAGCAGGGCTTGGGAATTCTGTGGGAAGTGTCAGAGCCTTTTGCAGCCTCTGGCTTCTGTAGTCTGAGCCCCTTCTAGGGAGTAGAGGGACATGGACAGTGACTAGCTGGAGTCTGAGAGGATTTAAAAGTAGATGGAGGCATTTTGTCACATTAGAGTAAGGGTAAGCCTCACTTAATTATGGCTTGTTTTTCTGTTAGGACTACAAGGTATTTTTCAGTTGTACAGAAGATTATTTTTAATGTTTTAAGCATTCTATGATTTACTCTAATTTATAAATTTTTTAAGTTCAGGAATAATTTATTGAGGTGTAGCAAGAAAATAAAAACCACCTATGATCCCCTAACTCAGAAATAGTCTCTTTTAATATTTCAGTATATTTTCTTGCAACCTTTAATAATATGTTTTAATTTAATAAAACCAGTCTTTATTAATTACCTCTTGTGGGTTAGACATTGAGGTAATTTGAAGAAAAGGATATCTGAACTTGCAAGGAGCTTAAGAAAGATCTAACACACAGTTACAATAAGGGTGATATGTGTCATGATAGGGTTATTATGGGGTTCCAATTAGTGTGTTTGCACTGAGGAAGGGTCCTTAGCCCATCTAGAGAGAAAGGGACAGTGAACACTCTATAGAAGAAGCTGAGGTCTGAAGGAGAAATAAATGGTAGCTAAGATAAACGGGTAAGAAGGAACGAGACTAAGGGCGAGAGGTCAGGGTTATGTACTTTGTAGCAACTGCAGACAGTGCCGGCAGGTGGAGGAGGACTGAACTTCAGGGGCAGGTGTTGGGGTGGGGACAGTGAGAGGCGAGGCTAAAGAGGTGAGCAGTAGTCAGATCCTGTGGTCTCATAGGCCAGGTTAAGGTGTTTAGAATGTCCCAAGAACAGTGGGCAAACATCAAAAGGCTTTTTTAAGCAAAGGATGAAGCATTCAGATTTTGCTTTTTCGAAATGATCATGCTCGAAAGTGTAGTAACCCAGGTAAGAGATGTGGCCAGAACTGGAGTATCGACAGTGTAAATGGAGAGACAGGATGGCTTTGAGAAGGATTTAGGAAGTAGATGTAACATGAACTTAATAGGTTGGATATGATGGAGAACAGGAGGGGCAGACCAAGGATGAGGCCTGGATCTCCAACTTGGGCACATGGAGTATAGGTGACAGTTATTTCCTCTGGATTAGGAGACATGGGAAGAGGACAAGATGGGAGGACGATGATGTGTGGTACCATGGGGACATCTAAGTGGAGATACCAGCTGACAGACATCCAAGCGTATGGTACTTTGGAGTTCAGGAAAAAGATCTGGGTTGGAGACCTAGATTTGGCATCATCAGTGTACAGGGAGTAGTTGAAACTATGGTAATTAATGAAATAGCATGAGGAACTGTGTGCAATGTGTATCTAACTTCAGATATTCAATATCCGTGTTGGGCCAAAAAAAGTTGGGGAAGGGGAAAATGACAGTTTAAAAAGTGCCAGTGACCGCTCTAGAATAAGTGAGAGATAGGCCGTGTAGGTCTGCAGTGTCCTTAGCCAATCTTGCCTTTCAGTTGCCTTTTATAGTACGAGCTGAGTATAGGTGAAGAGATTCCCAAAGTTAGTTTGACTTGCTTAATATTCATCTTATGTACTGACTGGCACCCAACTCCCGGCAAGACTGCACATGAAGCAGCTACAATATTGGGAGCATTACTGTGGTGGGGTACAAGCTAACAGCAAGGCAAAGGAAATGATCTTAGACAAGAGAAGAGACATTTATTTCATTGTAACAGGAGGGAAGAGATAGGCAAGATGGTGTAGATTCAGTCAGGTATCTGCAGTGGACACAGCATATCAAGATATTTTGACTGCAAGTAAATAAAACCTGGCCTCAAATTGGGTTAAATGTTCACAATATGTGTGATACACCTAGAAACCAATAGAGAGGGTGGCCTCTAGCCACGGCATGATCACTAGCTTAGCAGTGTCATCAGAGACCAGGTACTTAAATTTTCTCTCAAGGCTAATTCTCCTTCTGGTCATAAAATCTCCTTAGATTGTAGCCCAACTGCCCAGCAGCCATTGAACTTTTTCCTTGTTCACATGCAGCAGCAGAGACCAAGAGAGAAAACTCTCCCCCAACCTAGAATGTACAGTAGTACCCCCTTATCGGAGGGGGATACGTTCCAAGACTCCCAGTGGATGCCTGAAATCTTGGATAGTACCAAATCCTATATAAACTTTTTTCTATACATACGTATGATAAAGTTTAATTTATAAATTGGGCACAATAAGCAATTGCCTATAATGTAGGATAATGAGAGCAATATACTGTAACGAAAGTTAAGTGAATGTGCTCTCTGTCTCTCAAAATATCTTATTGTACTGTATTCACCCTTTTTCATGTGATGATGTGAGATGATGAGATGAAATGAGGTGAATGATGTAGGTATTGTGACGTAGCATTAGGCCACTATAAAGGTTACTTAAACACGAGCAGTGTGATACCACGACAGTCAGTCTGACAACTCAGATGGCTATTAATGGGCAGAGAGTGTATACAGTGTGGATATACTGGACAAAGGGATGATTCGAAGGTGGAGCCAAATGTTGCAAGATTTCATCACATACTCTGTACAATTTAAAATTTATGAATTGTTTATTTCTGGAATTTTCAGACTAAAACTGCAAAAAGCAAAACTGTGGATAAGGGTAACTACTGTAAGTCCTTCCTTACACTGAGTGAGCCAGTCTTCTCAGGTGCCGTAGTGGACTAGTGAGCATCCCCAGGGGAACGGTGTGGGGTGACGATGTGTAGAGGAGACAGGATTCCCTGCTTTTCCCTTCTTCACTGTAGCCAGACAGTGGTCAGAGTCCCATCAAGTACATGTCTGGGAATGTAGAGAGGATACTTGCACAAAATTGTGGTTCTGTCAGGAATGAGGGGAGAAAAGTGTGTTGAGATAGTGGCCATAACCAATTTATCAGCTACCATGTGTAAATGAATTGGGGTGATCCCATAAATAATCTTGTTTTTTGAAAGACTATTATGAACATTTCTCCAAGTTTTTAAATATTTTTTAAAAGCAATGTTAATGGTTATATGGTATTTCATCTTATTTAATAAACCATTAATAATAATTACTGTATGGTACTATTATAAGCACTTTACAGATATCATCTGACTTAATCTTTATATAACTCTTATGTTATCAGTACTATTATTCCTACTTTAAGATGAGAAAGTGAGGTTCAGAGAGGTTAAATAAGTGCCCAAGATCACACAGTTAGTGTGTACAGAGCTAGGATTCAGACCTAGGCAGTGCTCCTAACTACTAGCCTGCGCTGTATTACAGAATGGGATGGTTTATTCAACCCTTCTCTTATTTATGGAACTTTATATAGAAATAGGAAATAAATAGGGAATAGGAAAAATAGGCCCATTTTTCCCACAGCGTAAACAGTGCTACAGCGTGTATCCTGGTACATGAATGTTCTTTGGGATTGCTGGGTGAACATGTGACTATTGTTAAGGCACTTGCTATGTAGTGCTCAGGGGCTTTCCACAAGAACAGAGCAGCTTGCACTCTGTTGATGTGGGCTTTCCCTGAGAAACGGTAACTGTCATGCTCCTCCACTTTTTTTTTTATCGCATGGAGAAGAGAGCAGCATAATGTAGTGAAAGAACAGGCTACAGCATTCAGAATACTGACTTCTAGGCATCACCCGTATCCTGGTAACCATGTCGCCTTGGACCCACCAGCCTTCCAAGCCCAAGTTCCAAGCATTTCTGTCCTGCTTTACTTCTCAGGACTGTGAGATTGGTTGAAATTCTGTGGGTTAAAACTCTTGGTAGACTATTAAAGTTCAAACAAATGGAAAATACTCTTGTTCACTTAGGTGAAGACACACTGTATAATACCTTCACTAATTTGGAATAGAGGAGGAAAAAGTATTTTTGTTATTTAATTTTTGTTTAATTTTATTTAGATGGTATCTTTTAATGTATTAGCTGCTGTTTTCTCTTAATACCTGTGTTTACTAATTATTGAATGGGATTGTAGAGATTTTGTTTACTGAGTTTTAACCTCAGTAGCTTTTTCTTTAAAGAAAATAACCAATAAATTTCCATAGCTAGGGTTTTCTTTTTAGAACTGTTAAGTTTTTGTTTGTTTTTTGTCTTTTGTTTTTTGGCACTTGATCATCCATATTCTGTCATTCATGGTTGTGGTTTTCTTCCTGGATATTTTGGGTGCAGGTTTGATGGCTTGGGTCCAACTATCATTGTCTGTCCAACAACAGTGATGCATCAGTGGGTGAAGGAATTTCACATGTGGTGGCCTCCATTCAGAGTGGCAATTCTACATGAGAGTGGTTCCTGTACCCGCAAAAAGGTAACATGATAACACTTTAGTACCTTGTTTATCTTAAAGACCTCCATTTTGGTACCTGTTTTTTTGATCCATGTATTTCTCACATGAATGTTTCTGATTTAATCTAGAGCTCTGTATTTTGAAAACCATTTTGAATGTAGGCTTTATCATTCACAGTCCCTAGTGGTGTGGAGACATGTTTGCTGTCCAGTGAAACAACTGGGCACAGACAGGACATACAGCCTGAGGACATAAGTGGGACCCTAAATCACGGGCTTACAGTAACAGTTAACTGTCTAGATTGGGGGCAGTAGCAGCTTTAAACAGGAAGGTGGGTACAGAATGTCATAGAATAACCCTTAATTGGCAAAGACATTCGTTAATATGCTTTTAAAACATGTTTAATGGACAAAAGAACAACTTGCCATTTGGAAAATTTTATAATTTGCATTTCTTGCTTTTTAGTTAAGTTGTTTTTTGTTCTTGGAATCCTTGATCATCCTATAACTATAATCATTGTATTTTGATAGTTGTATTTCTCACTTAGTCAGTGTTTTAGCCACATTATCTATGCTCCTGTGGGTAACGCAGATATGTTGTATTATGCTCTTTTTATTCTCATCTCTGTCTCACCATCTAGGCTGTAAGCTCCGTAGAGTAGAGACTATATCTTACTCATTTTGTACCCCAAGCACCCTATAAGCATTTGCTGAATAAATAATAATTATACATTTCACATTGGATTTGCAGGTTGTTTTATTGAAAAGAAGTAGCAGTTTATTATCAGTTTCTTTCCTGAGTCATTGGAGCTCTTGAGTGAGCTCTTGTGTACCCCACGAAAGAACTAGTGAATGTTTGTCTTGCTGAGTTAGACACACATGAACCACTAAATTCCAGTGTTTCTTTAATTTTGCCAATACCTCTTTTCCTCCAAATTCCCATCTTGTTTATGATTATGAGTATGTAGAACTTTTGATAGATGTGAGTCAGGAATATTTATAATTTGGTAGCTCAGGTTTGGTGAGATGGACTCTTATACTAGCTGTTGTTTAAACCAGCTGACTTTGCCCTGAATTGTAAATGATAAATGGAAAACAAACTGAGTTAAAATATAAATGCTACAATTAAAAATAAGTGATTTTTTTGCAGCATGGTAATAATAGTTTAGATTTTCTAGTCAAAATCAATTATAACCATCCTGTCATCACCCTTGTAAACACTGTTTTACTTTTTCACTTCCATTGTCTATTGACTGACATCTCTTAATGTTTTGTATTGCAAAATTCTGTAGCAGGATTCATTAATTGATGTTTGTCTTTAAATGGCAAATTTTTCATATGTTCCTCTTTACATTTTATTTTCTTTTGGGCTAGTGAGTGTATTTATTTCACATCTTCACCTGAATATAGCTCACCTACATTCCTTCTAATTAATTATAACCTGATGAACTACTTTCATTGACTCATTAATGGAAATAAGATTGACATTGGTCAATGTCTCTGTTGGTGATGCTTGCTTTCTTAACTTGTTTAGAAGGAAAAACATTAAAGAATAGATATTTCACTCTTGTTTACAATGATCCCACCTTCTGAGGTTGTTTTGCATACACAGACACATGCATACACGTGATTGTTCATAATTCTTCAGTGCTTTACAGTTCAACAAAGACTTAAACTTGATATTCTTACTTAAATTTTGAGGAAAAGCAGATGACTTGTGTTTTTACTCTGACCTTTAACTCTTCTATTTTCCATTATAAAACATCTCATCTCTAAAGATGTAAGCTGTTATGCAAAATGATGTTCTCTTGCATCTTTCAGACTGTACTCTCAACTTAGGAACACAATCAGTTTATTGTTTGTTTATTATTAATGCCAATATCCTTTTACTATTTGTGATGATGATGTATCAGCAATGTGTTAATTCCTTTGCACAGGCCTTGTTAGTAACACTTCCAAGATCAGAACTCTGGCTTCTGGATTCAAGCACCAAGGTGGTATTTGTTCTCTCTGCTTTTTATGTTTGTATGTATAGATCTGTGCATGTCATCATCTCATGCACACCTGTTGCTTACAGATGTGTGTTAGATTGCAGTAGAGTATATGTCTTAATTAAATTTCAAATATCCTGTCAGTACCAGTCTAGCCTCTAATCCAGCATCTGATGTATGACTTCTGTCCTTATCAGCTGAGATTCCTTTTCCCATAGGAGAGCTCACTGACTCCCTTGTCTAAATGTAATAGTGGTGCGCAGGCATAAGAACATTCAGTGCTAGGGAAAATAGGAAAAAGAAGAGAATTTTTCTTTAAAAATACTTAAAAGCATAATAATGCCAGAATTGCTCTGCTTATCATTGAAGTAGATTATCTTTATTATTCTCTTGATTTGTTGTAGCTGGTATGACATAAAATGTTGAAATTTTTGCATTTAGAGATCATATCAAATGATCAAACAATTTCTGCATGGAGAGTACCTATTGTTCTTCCCTAAATAGCCTTTTAGCTTCCCACCTCTTTCACCATTTGATACTGTATTGTCATTGTTAATATTCTCTTTGATAGCATAATTTAGAATTATCAAACACCTAGCAACCATGCAAAAAAGATGTGGCTAATATTTCCAATCAATCAATCAAATCAGATAAAGACATTTTTAGTCTTCTGAATTTTCTTTAATGGTCAGTTGAAATCTCAATTAATAGGAAGCAAAGATTTTTCCTTTCTCGTTATGTTTTGTGATCTCTTTTTTCTAACATAGAGAAACTTGATGTGTGAGTCAACAAATATTTATTTGTTGAATAACAATAAATATGATATTGTAGGTATTTGATGCTGTTAGGGCTCCAAAAATGGATCTGTTGTTTTTAACTGATCTTGAAAAGCTAACTGTTTTCTTGGGGAAATAAGCAGTTGTCACTTTATGTCTCTTCCATCTTTTTCTTCTATATAGGATATAGTGATTCTGTGGATTATTTTAGATAATTCAGAGAGTTTTATCTTATTTTGATCGATTCATGGCATTTAGAGGCTTCAGAGTGGGAAATGCAACAATGGCATAAAGGTTGAAAGCATAAATTTTATAATTACCAAACCAGGATTTGCATCTTGGATCTGTTATTTTATAGCTGTGTGACCTTGGGCAAGTCACTTAGCTTCTCTGAGCCTAGTTTGATCCCCTGTAAAATGAGATTGTTGGTAATTTTGTGAGGATTTGTTGGGTTAATATGTGTGCATAAAAAGGTTACATTTATTCAGGTAATTTTTACTATTAGAAACAAAGAATATTGTAGACCTATATCTATCTCAGTGGTTGCGAAAAGAAAAATGCTCTAACATTTCTAATTGATGCAATATAAATACATTCAAGATAGAAGGTTCACACCTGCTTTATCAAAAATGTTCATGGTCATTCACACGTAGACCTTTTTTCCTCATGTCCAGACTTACTTTGTTCCAAAAGGAAACAATAAAATAGAATGTTAAAATTCTTTTGGGGGATTACAAAGTGTGATTAAAGAACAAACCACACAAAAACATGGGCATCTGATGAAACTATCATTGCACGTTCTTTAAAAAGGTCTGTTTTCTGAAAAACTAAAGTAAAAAGACTTGCCTTTTTAAAAAGTTGGAAGGGAGTCAAGTAGAAATGTAACAAAAGTAGAAAAGAGCCACACTGTCCCTCAAGCATCCTAAATATTTCAGACCCATTCCAAGTACACAAATTATTATGGGAAGTGATATAATTCTTATTAACTTTAGAGACAGTACATACACCTGATACAAGAAATAATAGATGCTATGTTTGTTCTGTGAGGTATATTTTAAAATTATGTTGCTGGAGCCCTTTTTTCTTCATTGTCAGCACAAATCCTTGTTTATTAAAGATTTAGCTTGAAGGAAATTTTAATTAATTACAGGTGCAGTAAATCCTGCCTGGGAAGCTGCCGTGCTGTATTTACCGCGAATGGCCTTCATGTGCCTGTGCTCCACTCTGTTCTCCTGGCTGCCTGACAGTGTGATTTATGGCTGTTGTTTTCTACCAGTCCACTGTTTGCCCTCTAGGAGGGATTGGTCTCCTGAGCCTCCATAATAACAGCAGTACTTTCACAGACATCTTTTAATGACAACAGCACTGCATTCTGTAAGTCAGGCTAATTGCAGATGTACCCTATTAATTGCAAAAACTAGGAGAGGTTACATATTTTACAAGCTTTTAATTTGAAACCGCCCGAGATGATTTGTCTTAAGTGTTTGGATAGAGACGTCCATAATATTCAACAATTCACTATTATTGAAACTCCAGTCTAGGCAGTTATAGAATTCTGAGATTGAATATAGTGAAAACAGCCTTAGATGTGTTTTTACCCAGTGGCTGTTAGGTACGTGGAGGTTATCTTTTCAATGGGGACATTTTCAAAATGTTCTTATTCTTTTTATAGAAGTGTCTTCTTAATTCTTATTCATTATTAGACATCTATAGCTAATGTTATGAAATTTTTCAAATAAACTTTAATCCTTAAACATACAAAAGAAGGTAAACATTGTTCCCATGATAGGTATTCAAGAGGCTTGGCATCTCACTTGTTTAACTTGGTGAAGTGACATCCACAATCCAGTTCAGGGTAGTGTTTCTTGGAGGTCAGGGGAATGAGTTGTAATTTAACTTCTGCTATCTTTCAAGCCCCAAACAATGGTAGTTTTCATCTCCATTTTCTCTCTGTGCACACAAACAGCTCCATTCCTGGAGGAGAATGGGACCTGGAGTATTCCAGGTTTCTTTGCTGTTATCTTATGCCCTACTTGCTTCATGACTTCTAGCAGCCACTGCTCTTCTGGAAGGGAAAATGGATATAGAGTCGGGACAGCTGCCTACCCAGAATCTCAGTGGAAAATTTAGATGTGGAGGAACTCTTGTAATCATCACTGGCTTCTGAAAGTCATGGCACTGCTAGGGTAAGGTGCTCGAGGTGCAATGATGCATCTTTTGATAGCCCGCTTTTCTTCACTGTGCACTAGCAGCCATGGCACGGCCAGTGGCAATGGAGTAGCAGTGTAGTCAGGGAAGAGTAGATGAAAGCGAGTCCTGAGAGAACCTAGATGTGTGTTTGTAAGGCTGTGAGCCCTGAGGTATTTACTATGGCATTTATCATAAGGTAGAAAGTCAGGAAATGGTTAATTCAGGTGCGGCCTTCAATGTAGTATTATGCAGGCACTGAAAATTATGACTAGGAAGATGGCAAAATAATAGTCATACTAATAATATTGTTCTCACCTATGGAACCTTTAATAAGCACCAGGTTTTGTAGCTGTTCTCTAAAGCCATGTTATTGACTGAAGTGTTGAATATTATGACATACGAAGACAGTTTCCTCCTCTTTATTTTTCTCTTTCAAAATTTTCTTGGCCCTTGTACTCTATAGAATTAAAAAAATATTCTAATCCTAGTTTATTAAGTAGTATCATTTTTGAAGATGTTAAATTTTATAAAATTTCTATGATTGTGATTACATAAATTATTGTATTAGGTTTCCTGATATTTATCTATCCTTATATTTCTGTAATAAGCCTTATTAGGTTAATATATTGCTAGATTTTATAATAAAGTAATGGATCTCTAATGTGTTGTATCTGGCAGTTTTGAAAACAGGGTTTTGCTGTCTTTATATTAATGATTCGGAATGCATTCTATCTTTTTCTGTATTTTGGAACAATTTATCAGAATTCTACTTCACTCATGAAATCTTTTGAGTGTGGTGGACTTTTGGTGGGAAGAGCATAACATCTTTTTCTAGTTCTTCATTATTGAACCAATTTAACAGTCATCCTCTATCAGATGTTTACATTTTTGGCGTTAGATCACATGCGGTATTGGTTAACATTTTGTATTCTCTGCATCTGTGATGGCACTCCTTTGATAGTTCTCGTGCTGTGCATCTGAGTTCGTGTGTTCTTTGGGCTGGCCTTTCAGAGGTTTGTTTTGTTTGGTCTTTTCAGAGTTACTTAGTTTTTTGCTTTATCGACTTTACCAGGTTTTTTCTTTAAGATTTCACTAATTTTTGTTTTTATCTTATTCTCTCATTTTCCTTTTATAGTAGATTGCATTGACTGCTGAGTTTGATTTCAGCCTTTCTGAATAAAGAATATTCTTGATGTGGTCTGAAGCTCTGCTGATAGCTAGTAAAAGGCGCTCACTAATGGTGATATTCAGATCCCTTGTATCTTAATTAAAATTTTTTTTTTGTTTTCTTTAATGTTACTTTCTCTCCTCTGATCTGCCAAACTCTGAGAGGCCGTGTTGTGCCACTTTGTCAACACAGCTCAAAGAGCTTTACTTTTGTGTTTTGTTGTAATGCTTTTTGGTAGGTAAAGGTTCGTGGCTCTTCTTTCTTTGTGTTGTCTCCTTTAAAATATAAAATAACCCTCTTCTGTTCAGTTTTTTTCATCTAATATTTATATTTCTAATCCTGCCCTGTTTTTGTTTGCATTTCCTTGGTTTATCTTTGATAATTCCCATATTTTCAACTTTCAGTGCCAGTCTAGTTTGGGTCTCTTTTAAACACAAGACTAGGTTTTTGTCATACTTAATTCAGTGGACAGTTTAGCCCACTGTCATATGGAGACCCCTGACATGTTTAGTCTTTTTTTCCCCCATAGTGGTTTGATAGTTCTACAATCTATTCCTTTTTTTATATTTATGCTGAAGTAGCAAATATTAATCAGTAAGTGGGTATAATTGTTTTTAAAATGCATTTCAACTTAATTTTCTCTCACGATTAAGAATTAAAAAGAATCTATCACTTATGCCTCATTCTACCCTTGGACAGAGTGGGATTCTTAGTTCACTTTTATTTTCCCCTGTTCTCACTTTAGGTTTTGTTAAACTAAACTGGAATTATAGTAACACTTAAAGGTATATCCCTTTTAATGTTTTAGAGCCTTTCTTAACTGTTTCATTAGTATTTAAAAATGTTTTTCTATTTACTTAATTATTGTTTTAATAATTTATTTTAATAACTGATATGTATATTACATGTAATTTTCCCTTAAAATTTTTTCCTTTTGTAGTAAAGTAAGAGGCAAAGTTGCCTAATATTTAGTTAATACTGGCTTTGGAGTTGGCAGCCTTTCCACATTCAAATCCCAGCTCCACCCTTTACCAACTGTGTGACGTGATATATTATTTACTTTCTCTAAGACACAGTTTCCTCATCTGTAAAATGAGAGTTAGTAATAGCACCTCTGTCCTCTCTCAGAGTTGCCGTGCGCGCTCTGTGATGAGCTTTCTAGTCGGGAGATCTGTTGTCTGCGGGCACATTTTCTGCTTTCACCCATGGGAAGGAACCATGTTCTCTTAGTGACTGCACCCATGCCCCTTCTGGATATAGCATACTGTACCTAGCTTATCTCTTACTGGTTTACTTTGTCATTGCCTGTCTGAAGTTGGAAATTTGTTTTTCCTCTCAAGCATGACTGCTGGTTTGGATTGATGCAGAATTCCAGGGTCACTGCTTCCCTCTAGAACTATGGAAAGATTTTCCCTTTGCTTTCTGACATTTTTAATGTTGCAAGTAAGATGTTCAACACAGATAGTCTTTTTCCTCTGATGGGAATCTTTTCTTTTTCTGTTTTGTTCTGACTAGAAGCTACAGCATTTTCTCTTAATTTTCTTTATTTTTGGAATTCAGATATCTAGTAGGTATATATATGCCTAAACCTATGTCTTTTTTCAGTGTTCTCGCCTGACATTTGTTCTGTAGTCTCAAGTATCTCCTCACATTTTTTTCTACATTTTTTAAAATCATTGCTTTTATTTCATTTCTACTCTGCCCTTCTCGAATTCATATTATAAATTGGTAGAGCTCCAGGGTTTTTCTTTTCTTGCTTTTGTTTTAAAATAAATCACTTTTCATCTACCTTGTTGTTTTAAGTTTAATAAGGATTGACACTGGGGATGTTTTGGAAAAATAAAAATTGGGTAAGTGTTGATATGTTATAACTTTTCTTGTCTTCTTTTGTTAGTGTTTCCTACTTACAGATGAATGAAACATGCAGTAAACTTCCATTGCCGATAATGTGCTGTTAGAATTGTGTGTATTATGTGTGTATCCATAAAGTCCTTTAGATTGTATCATGATTAGAAGATTGTCATTTAATTTAACTTATTTAAAATTGGCTTTACCATTTTATCATTTTAGGAGAAACTAATTCGAGATATTGCTCGTTGTCATGGAATTTTGATCACTTCTTATTCCTACATTCGACTGATGCAGGATGATATTAGCAGTCATGACTGGCACTATGTGATCTTGGATGAAGGACACAAAATTAGAAATCCAAATGCTGCCATTACCCTTGCTTGCAAACAGGTATGACCTCTTATAACACGGGAGATTTCCAGGTAGATAATAGTATTTCTTTGGGAATAAACTCCCTGATTTTAGTAACATACTTATTCTTTCCTTGTGCCTTTGCATAAGGAATTTGAAATATACATTTTTGCCTTAATGCAGAAAATTCTTTATTCTTGCCCTTAATCTTGTTTTTTAAAATTCTGTTTGTTCACATTACATAATATCTCTTGTAGGAATCAGGTGTTAGAATGTAACCAAATCCAACTTGAATCCATAGTATTCAGCTTGAACAATAAGAAAAAATTCTTTCCAGTTTTTTTAATCTATATGTAACTGGAGAATTAAAATTGCATAAAATGTCTATATTTCGAATGAGACCAAAATGATAAGTAAATGTGTTAAATAACAAGATTGTGTGGGAGCATTTTGGGGTAGGTTTGCTGATCATCTGTCAAAAGGTGAATTTAATAAAAAAATATTTTCTTTCCCAAAATAGTTCCGCACCCCTCATCGCATTATCTTGTCTGGCTCACCGATGCAAAATAACCTTCGTGAACTGTGGTCGCTCTTTGACTTTATCTTCCCAGGAAAGTTAGGCACATTGCCTGTGTTTATGGAGCAATTCTCAGTCCCTATCACCATGGGAGGATATTCAAATGCCTCCCCAGTACAGGTAATGTATTAGGCAGATTATACTTTTGCATTTTAATATTTTAAATGTCCCTGCTAAGTACTATATCTGTAGTCAAGTCATTCATAATATAAGAAAAATGGCCAAACTTATAAATTGGTATCTGATAAAAAAAAAAATCACAATTATTTTTGCTTGATAGCTCAGATTTTTTCCAGATGAGTTTTTAAAAATCATGTAAAAGATTAAAGAGCAGTCAGAAATTATAAAACAAGAATGAATCAGTTCTAGACAGCATATAATTTAGTGCAGACTGAGATAGTACATCTTATAAAGTAGTATAAAGGCTTAGAAAAGCTGAAACCAGAGAGGATTGTTAAGGAAAGATTTAATGAGACACGTATTCCTTATCCTGATTCTGGGAAAACAGGCCAAGGACAACAAGGGCATTCTGGATTAGGGCAACAGTATGAAGGCAGCCACATTATTTGGCCATGGACAATGAAGAGATATACTTGATTAGACTAGAGATGCTGGTACAGGAGTATCAGGAAAGCTGGAAATAGGAGCTTTGAAAGGGAGGTGGAGGTGCTCGAGCAAGGAAGAGTCACTGAGGATGTCTGAGCCGGAAACTGGGAAAGAGCTGTTCTCAGGTTACTCAGGCTGCAGATAGTATGGAAGGGAGGCTGGCATTGAGAAACCTGCAGTAATCGTTGGGGGTGAGGTTGATGAGAACTTGGACTTGGACCTCGGTGGTGGTCCTAAGAAAGAAAGTGGGTCCCAGATGGCATATTTTCTTTTTTAGGTAGAACATAATCAGACGTGGAGGCTGATAAGATAAAAAGAAATAGGATAGGGAGTGGTAAGCCTGTTGCAGCTGACCCCTTTGGTTTTAGGCCAGGGTGACTGGTAGAGTGTGGTTGTCACAGACGGGAACATTGAGAGGTAAAGCCCACCTGAGGGCAGACTCCAGCCTGGGTGAGCTGCAGGATTTCTGCACAGCTTTCAAGTAAGACCTACACCTGCCAGGTCATGACTGAACCACAAACAAAGACTTTCACCAGAAGAGATGTTTATGTGTTTTGAAATATTAATTAGAAAAAAGAATTTTAGACCTTTAAAATTAAGGGGATTGTCACCCACAATTTTAATATCTTTCACATTTGAGATTGAATCATTTTTAATTAACTTTCATAAGGGCTCTCTTCCTCCACTGAATCCCTGTTGTTCTGCATTTGTAGTCTTTTTAAAAACTTTTTATTTTAAAATAATTTCAAACTTAACAGTCACAAGAATCATAAAAAGAACTATTTACTCTTCACCCAGATTTACCAGTTGCTAGCATCTTGCTAACATTTTGCCACATTTGCTTTATCTTTCCTTCCCTCTGTCTCCCCACCTCTCTCTCTATGCACACAAATTTATATTATTTTTTTTCTGAATCATCTGAGAGCAAGTTGTAGATGATGCCCCTTTCTTCCAAATCCTTTAGTGTGTGTTTCTTAAGAACAAAGACATACTCTTACATAACCATTGTATAAACATCAAAATTAGAAGGAAATTTAACATTGATATAATTCTGTCATCTATAGTATGTGTCATTCACATTTTGCCGGTGCTTTTAGTAGCATCTAAGTCCCTTTAGTCTCCTTTAATCTGGGACAGCTTCTCTAACCTCTCTTATGTCTTTCACTGACTTTGACAGTTTTGAAGACCACAGGCCTTCAAAACATTATTTTACAGAATGTACCTCTCTTTGGATTTGTCTTCCATTCTTTGTGATTAAATTCAGATTATGCATTTTGGCAAGACAGTCACAGGAGTGACACGTCTTTCTCAGTGTTTCATATCTGGAGGCACATGCTGTTTATCCCTTTCTTGGTGTTATTAATTGATTACTTGGGTGTGGTGGTCTTTGCCAGATTTCTAAATTCTTCAAAGTTACCACTTTTCCTTTGGACTAAGTAAGTCATTTGTGGGAAAATACTTTGAGACAATGCAATATGGCTGTTTCTTCCTTGAAGTCCTTGTTTCTTCCTTGAAGTCTTTATTTCAGAAGTTTGTGCACTTACCTTTCTTTCTTTTATAGATTATAAGCTCCTTGGGAGCAAAGGTGTTGTTTATATTTGCTCCTTTCTGTTTAAGTCCATGGCTGCCATGCATTATTGAATCCCAAGAAGATATTCTGTGAGCAGATATTTATTGTGTCAGGGGAAATAAACATGATCATAGTATAGGGTAATAAGGTCTGTGATCAGAGGAGATCCAATATCTGAGCTGTGGGAGTCAAGAAAGGCTTCCTGGGGGTAGGATGACTATGCTAGGGCCTAAAAGATAGAGGAAGATGAGGAGGAAGGACAGTAATTACCAAAAATAGGGATTGCTTTTGGATTTGTATGTTAAACTTGTGCAGAGCATTTTAGAACTGAAAAGAACTTGAGGAGTTATCTAGGTAAACTTCCTTATTTCAAGCTCAAGGTTTTTGAGAGTCAGCATTTTGGTGACTTGCCTAGGTCACTCAGCTCTGGAAGAAGCAGAAGTGGGGAGTAATTATCACTCTACTTTGTCGGGAATAGGAAGGAAGAATGGGCATACTCAGCTAGGTATCTATTTTTCACAGTACTTGGGAGTTGGGAGTGATAGAGAAATACAATTGGATTCTGCCCTTCATCTCCCCACCATCATGTTTTTACTCACAGAGGAAAAGACACAAGAGGCAGATGGAAATTAAATATAGAATCTGCTTTATTGCCTGATGCACAGGATTCCCTAAGAAAGCTGGCCTGGAGAATGTGGCTTGACCTCGAGGCTAAAATAGGGTTTCTTAGTCTTTTCTGCCCTCCCATTCCCACCCCAGTCTAGAGCTGAAGATCTTCCTCTGGGAAGAGTTGAGTGTGACAAAAAGACTCAGACCTATCCCCAGCTACTCTAGGCTCTGACCCTTGCAAGTTCATTGCAGTGGCCCAGGAGTAGGGAGACTCTCCAGATGGGCGGAAGTGTGGAAAAGAACAGGAGTGGCCAGGGCACCTAACAACCCAGCCCTAGTTTTCCAGCATCACCAACTAGCTCGCTCGTTCTGGAGGAGATAAATGTGGATAGAGGCAAGGATATGGGGACAATTTCCTTAACTCACTGTAAATATTTTTAGGAATAATTTAAACAAGTACTTGTTTCCTTGGGACTGTAATGTCTTGTTAAATTCCGAAATTTAATCATCTCTGCATTGTAACCCATAATATATACCCATATTAAAGGTAATTTTTATCACTGTCTGAATGATACATTTACCAGGGTTACCTGTAACTAAAAGTTGTTGGTTAATTGAGCTGCTTTGTTCTTGTCTGCTATTCCAAGTAAAACCTATTTTTTTTTGTTTACACATATAGACATATAAGATAACACATATACATGCACATACATGTATACATACTTAAGGTGTTCTTAGGGTCTTATTAAAATATTTTTACCATGTTAATTTTGTAACATGAATTTTTCTGTATTATAATCAAGCTATTATCATTAATTTTGCAGCTAACTTTCTTAAATTTAAACTGGCTGGAATATTTCTTGTTCCATTAAATAGTAATTTACTAGGTTGTTAAGCCTATTTAGATTTTTTTAAAGTATCAATAATTTATTGAATTCTTTGTTTGCCTTTAAGTGGATTGCAGAGGGAGTGGCTTCCTGCACTGTGGGCCTTTGTTTTTTATGTACAGTTAATACCCATCTCATGTGGCTGTGCTTCATTACAGAACCATATGCCCCATTTTAGACTAGAGTGACCTTTCATTTCTGGGATCATAGGGCTTTTCTTGAACTTACTCTCCAAAGTCTCCAGTGGGTAGTAATCTCTACTGATTATCTGGTTACTCCCATTGCTGCAGCTTCCCCCCAGAGTTGGCTTTTGATCTTCAGTCTTGCACAGTAGCAGTTCCTTTGTAGCTTTTGGAGAATTCAAGGTTATAAACAGATTTGTTTGAAAGCAGCATTTTCCCCCAGAGGGTGGTTGAGAACCAAGTAAATCTCTACTTTAGGGTTTCACCATGCAGTAATAATTAAAACAAAGTATAGAAGAGGAATAAGGCACAAAATTGCCAGTTCTTTTGTTTGTACATTTTGGTTAATAAATTTTTTTACTGATGTTATTATGAAAGCTGCCATATTAAACTTATACTAATGTTTCCAAACCATTTTCTAACCATTTCCAACCAATTTTGTACAGTCATTGGTCATTCTTTTGAAAATTCTTACTTTGAACATTGGAATCTTAAAAGGTAAGAACAAATGTATTCCTTAAACATACAGTAATTCTTTCTTATTTTCTCTTACTAAAGGTTAAAACTGCTTATAAGTGTGCATGTGTTTTACGAGATACCATAAATCCATACCTACTAAGGAGAATGAAATCAGATGTCAAAATGAGCCTTTCTTTGCCGGATAAAAATGAACAGGTCTGTAAATCCAGGAGTTACCAAAAGATTTCTAAAGCACAGGTGTACCTGTCTATTCACTCTGCTTTTTCATATGCAGAATTGGTGAGACATGGTTGTAGGTACTGTGGAACAGGCAGATCTATACCTGTATGTAGCTGTATGTGACAGTTGAGCCTGCTATTGCATCTGGCCTCAGAAGGACTCTAGTACATAGGCTTAGATCCCTCTTATTAACACATTAGATTCCCACAGCTGCTCTTTTTAAACTTCTCCATTTTTCTCAAGTCCCCAATTCATTCATGCTATAAATTATTTGAGGTGCCAGCCACATGTCTGGGAAATAGCAGTGAACAAAGCAAACACTTGTTCTCATGAAACTGTCATTTTTTCTTTAGGAGAGACAGTCATAAGTAAATGTTATCAGATGGCAGGTGGTGATAAGTGTGGAGAAAAAAAATGAGGCAGGGATAGGGAGTGCCGAGGGCAAGGATTTGGGGAAGCAAGCTTTTATAAGGGATCTCTGATAAACTGACATTTGAGCAGACATTTGAGCAGAGGCGCAAAGAAGGTGAAGGAGGGAGTTAAAGGGTATTTTGGAAGAACGTTCTAGGTAGATGGGAAGTGAGAGGGTATTGGTATGTTCAGGGACCAGCAAGGAGACCAGTGTGGCTGGCGGGCAGGAGCAAGAAGAGGGCTCAAAGTCAGTTTGCCTGCCAGATCACCAGAGCCCACTGGTCATGGTGAAGATTTGGAGGAGATTCACAGGAGGATACTGAGCAAAGGAGTGATGTCATCTGACTTAGGATTTAAAAGGGTCATCCTTTTGAATTTCATCCTAGTGTTCTGTTATCTAAATGTATAACTGTACCTTCTATTCAGGATCTAAAAGTAAATGCATTGGAGATTTTGAAAGTGGAAACTCTGAAGGATCTGAGAGATCTGTCATCAAGACTACTTTTGTCACTACCTCTTCCCTCCCCATCAACACTTATCTCTAAATTGAGCCATTGGTCTTAGCATCCCCCTTACAGGTCTCTCATTCCTGCCAGTTGCTTAGGACATAACTCTGAGCTGTCTCTAATTCTAAATCAACTAGTTGCTGTGATGCTCTGTCCTTTGTCATTCTCTCACTTCTCTGCTTCACATCCTCATAAATTAGTGCAGTTTAGTCTGACTAGCACAATTAGTTTGACTGATCTCTCAACCATTAGCACTCCACACTCCATACCGTATTGCACACTGTTGCTGGATTGATTTTTCTAAGAGTAGTATAGTCCTCCTATCAACATACCTTTAATGTCCCTCTCCCCACCGAGAATACCAATTTAGTTTATTTGTGCCAATTTATTTTCACTATAGAATCTCAGAATGCTTATTATTATATCCCATACAGTAGCCAAGGCAAATTGCTTCCTATTTTTTAAACGTACACTACTTTTCCTTCCATTTGCATATGATTTTCCCTTTGCCTAGAGGTTTTCCACTCCTCCAGCAAACACAGAGATGTTCCATTTGAAGACCCCATGATAGTCTCTGCTAAAGCTTCTACTAGACTGGAATACCTTGAGGTTGAGACTTTGTCTTACCCCATCGTCAGATTCTGCATGACACCTATAAACAATCATTTGCAAACACTAGGTACCCAGTGATTAATTTGTTTAACTTTGCTACTGAGAGGAGAGGTTTTTCTGTTGCCACTTTTAAAGGATTAAAATATGAGTAAGAAGTTAAGAATTATAAACACTCAGGTTCCTTTTACTTAGTCAGCATATGAAAGCATTGGAGGAGAAAGAAAATGGAGACAAAGGGATGAGTTAGCCAGTCCCTACAGAGTCCTCAGGAGAAAAGATATGGGCCTGAACCGAGGTGAAGGTGGGGCTGGCAAGAGGAAGCTGAAGGGCCTGGTGACTCCCAGGTTTCCCACTTGGATGCAGGGAAGAATCTGCTGTGGCAGAGGCTACAAAATGACAAACAGCTCAGAGGCGACAGCTGAGGAGTTTAATTTAGGTAATATTTGAAGTGCCCATGGAACATCTGCTTGCCTAAAAGGCAGTTGTAATTGGGTTTAGAACTCTCGGAGAGTTCTAGGCTGGGATGTAGCTATGACCTGTGAGAGAAGGTGTTGAAGTTATGAGCAAGGATGAGTTTTCCTAAGGAGATTATGTAGAATGAAAAGAGACAAACAGCTCAGGCAAACGGCAACATTAAGGTGAGGGTAGAAGTGGAGGAGCGACCTGGGGAGACGGAAGGCCTTTGTAGGAAGGCACAAGCTGGGTTGGGGTAAGTGGAGTCATGATGCCCTAGAGATCCTATGTGTTTGGCATCTAGGAAGTTATTAGTGACCTTGTCCAAAGCAGCTTCAGTGGCATCAGCAGAAGTGCTCTTCAGGCTTGTGCTAGATTCATACGTGACTAGAAAGCAAGGAAGTGGAGATGGTGATTGTACACGATACTTTCAGGAGTTTTCCCCCTCACTTTTTGCATAGTCTTAAGGAGTGGAGCTCTGTCCTGAGGAGGATAGGAGGATTTTCAGAATTGGTAGAAAGGTTGAAGGGTTGCCCTTGATTCCATACAGGAACCTATTTCTCTGAGAATAAAGGAAAATAAGCTGAGGCAGATGAAGTATATAAATTTTAGGGAGTGAAAACTAGAGAATCATGCCTGATAACTTCAATTTTAATTTTGTTGTCTTGTTTTTGTTTGGTTGTTTTTAAGTAGAGGTTGAGACAGAGGTGAGTGGCTTTGGGGGAGAAAGGAGTGTTGTCACAGCTGTTCTAGGTTTGCAAAAGGTACTGGGCAGGGAAGTACATAGAGCATTCCCTTGGAGACCAGGAGCAGGCAGTGGCAGGATGCCGCCCTGGTGGGTGACATTCTCCAGTGCTGCTCAGCACCTAACCAGAAAGGAGTAGAGAATGCAGGTAGTTGAGTTAATCTGCATTTGGAAGTTCACAGGGCAGATGCAGAGGGCTGGCTGAAGGAAAATATGTTGGGAATATTACTAGCCAAGGAATAAAGTCAAGCCATGAGGTTGCTGTGGTGGACTTGCAGAAAGAGAGGAAGGTTGAGAAGCAGAGTCAGAGAACATGATGGCATGGAGTAATTGCTGCAGTTGGGCAACGAGGATAGGGGGTGCTGCCAGAGATGAGTCTGGTAAACTTGTGGAGTTGCGCTTAGAACCCCAGGAAAGGGGGAGTGCAGGTGAAGTAAGGGTCCCTGTTCAGGCTTGCTGAAGTGGAGTGTGGGAGAGGGGCATGGGAGGTGAGAGGTCTGAGCACTTGTTGGCTAGGAGGAGGAAGGTTTGCACCTGGTCCTGAGCTTTCCTGTGAGCAGGAAGCCAGTCTTCAGGGACTGTTGAGACAATGGGGTGAGGACCAAGAGGTGAACCGATGACAGAAATGGGGACTGGTCAGTGGAGGGGACTGTACTCATTGTTCAGTCGAGATGTGTTTGGTTTTTTAAATAAGAGGTACGTTGTTAAAATTGCATACATTGTGCTGTTTTGATTAGGAAATTTTGTTGATATTTTAATAATTTTATTCTGTTAAGGTTTTTGTTTGAAATTATAGTTTCTCTGTTTTCCTTCCCCATAGGTCTTATTTTGCCGTCTTACAGATGAACAACATAAAGTCTATCAAAATTTCATTGATTCCAAAGAAGTTTACAGAATTCTCAATGGAGAGATGCAGGTCAGCTAAATGATAGAAGCTGGAGAAATGAATGGTAGACCAAGGGAAACGGGGAAAGAAAGGAAACTAGTACCGGTCAGGGGTTCACTATTACTCTCTTGAAAACATTTCGGTGCAAACCTGCACTTAATTTTGAGCCCTTCCAGAAGTAAGAGTACACATGGTTATATTTCAGCATGCTCCCTTTTTGTCTGTACTGCAGCACCGTTACACTTGAATCTGATAACTTGTGGTCGAGTGAAAGAATAGCACTAGATGACAGGATCTGTAATGGGGAGTCCTGCAGGGACAGCTGATCCTGTGCTGAATGTAGGGAAGCAGCCTTGGAGTGTCAGGGTTAGTAGGCACATGGAGGAAGAATAATTATTATAAATTTTTTTAATAACTTTTAGTGTTTGGTAATACTCAGCAATCTATAGTTGTCGGTACATGTCTGTTCAATAGGTATATGTAAGTAGGTTTATAATCAGTGTCTAAGTCTAAAGCTTCATTAAACTATTCAACTTTGTGTTTTAGTATCTTAAAATGTGAATTGTGTTTATTTATTTGTTTATTTATTTATTTAATACATAGGACTTTCTTAGTCCTTGGTCTGTCCTCAATGGAAGCATAGCTGAGTAACACAGTACACTCCAAGAAACACACTTCCATGCTTATACATGGAGGTAGATGATGAAGAGATATATGTAGGCAACATGGCTACCTGTGTTCCAGAACATCTACATGCTTTTTCTTCTAGATTAAATAAGTCATTTCAGTTCTTTTAACCATCTCTCACAATTTCTTATTTTGTCTTTCATTGGCATCTATAGGAGGTTTTTAAATCATTCGCATTCATTTACTTCTCCTAAATTTCCCCTTAACTTAGCTTCATGTGCTTTCAAGTTGTGAAACTTAGGAGGTCTAGGATAAGCACTATCCAGGAGTTATAGAATACAAGTCACATGTGTGATTTGAAATTTTCTAGTAGTCACATTAAAAAGGTAAAAAAAAAATGAAATCAATTTTGATAATATATTTTATTTAACCTGAAATGTCCTAAATATTTTAATATATAATCAAAAAAATTAAATTATTGAGATAATTTACTCTTTTTTGTTATAAGTCTTCAAAATTGGGTCTAGTTGATCGTTGAACAACTCAGGGGTTAGCGGTGCCAACCCCCCTAACTCCTGCACAGTCAAAAATTTGCTTTTAACTTTTGGCTCCTTTAACAACTACAGTCATCCCTTGATATTGGTTCTAAGACCCCTTGTGGACACCAAAATCCAAAGATGCTCGTGTTCTTTATATAAAGTGGTGTATGTAGAACAATGCACACCATCAGCCCTGTGAATCCACAGATTCCCAACCTCAGATCAAAAATATTGTTTTCAGTCAGCGGTTGGTTGAATCCATGGATGCTAAACTCATGGTATAATGGACTGACCGTATTTGTTGAAAAATATTCCTGTATAAGAAGGTCCTCTCAGTTCAAACCTGTGTTGTTCAAGGGTCACCTGTATTTTACATTTGTGGCACATCTCAATTTGGACTAGCTACATTTCAGGTGCTCAGTAGCCACATATGGTTTATGACTATTGTATTCGACAGCACAGGTCTAAGGGATGAAAGATGAGTACAGATGACTCTTTGGGGAGTTTTGACAATGTTCCTGATTTATCCAGATCTTCCATTATGTGTTTGTTTAACTGTTGTTTACTGTTTAAAACTATCATACTCTTTGATTACTGGCTTAATTTATGATTTGTCTTTTTTGCTTGAGCTTTTATACTGGTGAGCTTGATTAGAGTCACACACTGAAAGCTGTGTGAAAGATGCCCTCTGGCTAGGCATGGACAGTAGGTCTGTGTCCTGCTGGGTGAGCTATCCTTCATATCTTTCCCATTTGTGTATTTTCCATGCAGATATATTTTCTGATATAATATTAATATAAAGGTAAGTGGAACTTCTTAATCTTCCTGACTGTGATTTTACATGGGATAATCTGAGTGCACATAATTCTTATATACCATAGATTTTCTCTGGACTTATAGCCCTAAGAAAAATTTGCAACCATCCTGATCTCTTTTCTGGAGGCCCCAAGAATCTCAAAGGTATTCCAGATGATGAACTAGGAGAAGATCAGTTTGGATACTGGAAACGCTCTGGGAAAATGATAGTGGTTGAATCCTTGTTGAAGATATGGCACAAGCAGGGTCAACGAGTATTGCTATTTTCTCAGTCAAGGCAGGTGAGCATACAGACTTCATACAAGAAACAAGTTGGTTCTTTATGACTTAAAAGCATTAATTAAAAATGTGGGATATAATCTAAAATAACGACTCCAAAAGCAGACCTACCCGCTGATACTGAGGTAGCAGCCTACAGATCTCTTTGGGAGCTTGGATCTTTCTCTAGAGTTAGTACAGATAAGTTGGCTTTTTAAAAATTAGGCTTATGTACCATGCGATTCTGGAGTGTAGATGAGTTTGGGTCTGAACTCAAATAAATGTCCAGCTATTTACAAAATGTGTGAGAATCAACAGTAAATATATAGTAAGAAAATACCAAAAATAATCTTGTAGCAGTTATATTTATCTACTTCAAAGTGAGAAACCCTTTTAATTTGAGCCTGTTGGGAACGTGTGACTGTTTACACAAATGTAGAAGCACTCACTGGGGGTATAAGTTTGATTTTTAAACTCTTCTCCCCAATCCTCTCTCCCAAACAGATGTTGGGCATACTTGAAATATTCCTTAGAGCCCAAAACTATTCCTATCTCAAAATGGATGGTACCACTACAATAGCTTCAAGACAACCACTGATTACAAGATACAATGAGGTAACAAGTGAATATAACAGTCAAGTCACATAGTGCTACTGTATACAATGGGACAGGAAGGAGAGTGTCTACACCTACCTGACCAGTGCTTATATCTAGATTGGGCAGCAGGTGGAGGGGACTTTTAGCTTTTAACTCTGTACATTTCTGGATTATTAGGGGTGTGTATATGTGTGTTCTTGAAAATACAACTTTTAAATATTATTAATGTTAATATTAAAAGTAGGAAACGTGGGATGAGATCTTGACTGACCAAAAGTCTCTAGATCATAACCTATTCCTTATATGGGGAACATTTTCTATGTTTAGAATATGGAAAGGCGGAGACAAAGAGCTCTAACTGGTCTTAAATGTGCATACTAAGTGTTGTATGTCTTACTTCTAGGACACATCCATATTTGTGTTTCTTCTGACCACTCGGGTGGGTGGCCTGGGAGTCAACCTAACAGGGGCAAACAGAGTCATCATTTATGACCCCGACTGGAATCCAAGCACAGATACACAGGTCTGTTTGTTTTTAAAAAGGAGTATATTGGTGACATACAGTTGACCCTTGACTAACACAGGTTTAACCCTTGACTAACACAGGTTTAACATTTATATGTGGATTTTTTTCAATAAATACAGTAAATGTATTTTGCTTTCTTTATAATTTCCTTAGTAACATTTTCTTTTCTCTAGTTTACTTTATTATAAAAATACTGTGTATAATACATAGAACATACCAAATTTGTGTTTGTTTAACTTCCTGTCAATAGTGGGCTATTAGTAGAGTTTTAGGGGAAGTCAAAAGTTATATGTGAATTTTTGATGGTGCAGGGCGTGGTGTGTTGTTCCAAAGGTCAACTGTAGTTTAATGGCTAGCACTTGGGAGTGTCCTTAGTGCTCATGTTAGCTGCAGCATGTAGTTCATGTCTCGGTTGTTGCCTAATTTTCACCTTGAGGAAGACATGTTCCAGCATAACAAATAGGAAGAGTACAGTTATTTCATAGCATCTATTGCTAGATCTGGGGTAAAAAGAATTTGTGATGTTACAAGCACACATTGTTTCTCAGGTAGAGATACCAGTCTCTCTTTGTCATCAGGCTGTTTATCTTCCTTAGGTATATTTAGCCTCATTATGTCATTATGTCAAAATTCTAACCTTGGGAGTGGAAGGAAGCAACCAGCTATCTCTGTTTCTTTTAGTCAGTGCTTGTCACTGGGGAGGGCCCTTGTTGAGATGTATCTCTCTGCCATAGGCCCGGGAGCGAGCGTGGAGGATAGGCCAGAAGAAGCAGGTGACGGTGTATAGGCTTCTGACTGCGGGCACCATTGAAGAAAAGATTTATCACCGGTCAGTACAGATGTCTGTCTACCTGCTCCTTGACTGACGACTGCTCTTCTGGCTGCAGTGTGTGCAGGATATATAAGTATACCACCAGGATTTCAAGCAGAGAATTTTTTAAAAACATTGATAAAAAAGTCTTTTCTTCTTGGAGCAGTAGTTTCTATAATGTGAGGGATAGTATGGTCTTTAAAATGTTTGTTTTGTTTTTATATTTTTTCTTATTAAAATAAGCCTAGATGGCTTATTGTGAGTTTTTTAAAAATGTCTTTGAATCACATCACTTTTCTACCTTCAAGGACTGCTTATGTGTAAATTTCATATTGTTGTTTGAGAGAAATGTTTCCAAATACTATAATGTCCATCTTCTTTCAGAAAAATTTTAAGAAGTGACAAAATTAAAACACTAACATATTGATATTTAAACATAGCACACAGTTGTGATTAGTATGGGTGTTCTTTTGGCCTTGGCTCAGATGCCCCACAGAGAAAGATTGATCAGGATATTTGTTTTTTCCTCCATCTTTCACTCTATAATGACTGGGGGGTTTAGGCGAGAGAAACTTCAACAGTAAAATAGAGATATTCCCAACTTCTCTGTCTCTCCTGCTAAAGATGTTTTTCTTAAGCCTCATCCCAGCCCCTAAAGGGAGTCTTTTACTTTCCACCATGGGGACTGAGCCACTCATGGGATGGTTCATGTTCTTCAGGGGCCTTCTTATAAGAGGTCTAGAGTCAAGCTGTGTTCTGAGAGGAAGAGATACACACCTTAGCCTGAATAAGCAAGTAGGAGGGGCAGGACTACTTTCTGGTGATAATCTGGGCAAGAGTAACAATGGTGTGGGTACTTTAGCATAGAGTATGGATCATTAGGTGGAAGCTGGTGAGATGGCTCCAAGTGAAAACTTTGCAAAGTCCAGGTAAGAGTTTCCTAAGCCCCATCACAGGAGGGTACTACATAGGGCAGGACAGAGGGCTCTTGGTCCAAGAGTCAGGAGGCTGACTCCTTCCAGCTGAGCATGGCTGTGAGTCACATGAATGTATATGAAAAGGTGTTTCTTGAACTGTGATGAATCTTGGAAGTTGCAAAAAACCCCTGGGTAGAAATAATAATAAGGTATTATTTCTAACTTAAATTTTGTAAAACATGGGAGACCACCTAATGTTTTATGTACTTACCGAATTGTAATTTTTCAAGGCTAAAAGTTTTGGGGATTATTTAGACATCCATACAGCTGCAGTTAGCATAACTTTCTTATATTGTTTTATAATTAGTATTTTGAGATCGAGCTAAATATTATTTCATATAAGTTTAATTTTTATCTTTTAGACAAATCTTCAAGCAGTTTTTGATAAATAGAGTGCTAAAAGATCCAAAGCAAAGGCGATTTTTCAAGTCCAATGATCTTTATGAGCTGTTTACTCTGACTAGTCCTGATGCATCCCAGAACACTGAAACGAGTGCTATTTTTGCAGGTATTACATAAAATAATTTAACTGAAAGGAATTAATTATGTGAGAATTGTACAAATGTAACATTAGCATGTTTTCCCCTTTTATAGGAACTGGTTCAGATGTTCAGGCATCCAAACTCCATTTAAAAAGAAAACTTCAACCAGCCTTTGGAACAGACCATAATGTTCTAATAAGCAAAAGGTTCCCTGATTCTAATGTATCTGCAAATGATGCCATGTCATCTGAAGAGAAATCTACAACTGTAGGAGCTGAAGTGAATGTACCTTCTGATCAAGGCGATCCTTTGAGAGATGATCCTCAGACACCTAGTAATCTAATGAGCAGTGACAGACTTGTAGAAAAGACAGATGCAGTGTCTAGGCTAGAGTGCTCATCAGTGATGAGTGGAAATGGGGAGTGTTCAAATTCTCCAAGAATCAATAAAATGTACAGGACATCTGGTGAGGAAAGCATCGGTGAAAAACAAAGTTTTTCTGACAAAAGAGAAAGTTGCCAGGTTCAAACAGAACCTCTTTGGGAGAATGAACAAATTGAAAATAATTTTTGTAAGCACAAGTCAAAAACAAAACATAGTGTAGCAGAAGAGACCCAGGAGAAACAGCTGAGGCCAAAGCAAATGTCTAAGAACTCTAAGCGTTGCAGAGACGCCAAGTTTGAAGGAACCCGAATTCCACACCTAGTGAAGAAAAGGCAGTACCAGAAGCAAAACAGCGAAAATGGGAGTGAGAACAAGGAACAGAGCAATGATGATTATGTTTTGGAAAAGCTTTTTAAAAAATCAGGTAATCTTTTTGCTGAATTTGCCATGAGGTGCTAGGAACAGAACATTAGTGGGCCATTTCTAGCGGTAGCAGCCTTTACTGACAGTGCAGAGTGGACTCTCAGCTGGAAGTATTTTTTCTTCTAAAAGTCAGATTTGAAATGTATTTACATTTTTGAAAATCATATTTACCTTTTTTGAAGATCTAGAAGAAATTGAAACCAGAGAATAATAGTACTTGACTTATAATCACACACAAGAGGAGTACAGTACTTTAAATGGATTTGTACTACCTGAATATTATTAGGAAATTTCTCTACATGCTATATTTATCTAGTTTTTCTACCACAGGTGATTAAAATAAACTCATGGGGGAGAAAGGTATGGATATGGCCAGAGGCGGGCACTCTGGAAGCGGGAAAGCTGATAGCTAATATCAAGGCAGAAAAATTAAGAAAGCAGACTCAACAATTGCTCGGGACCCTGGAGGACAGGCAGTCCTGCACGGCTTAGTCATCCTTGGGAGTGTCATCTTGGTCAGGCCTTGGCAGTCATCGTGCTTACAGTGTCATGGCCTTGACTTTTGAAAGATTGCTGTTTATGGTTCTCTGTTCAAGAAGGCAGCTTTATGTATGGCATTTCAGAAAGAAACCATCTGGGCCTGATGTTTTCTTGTAAGGTATTTTTTTGGTAACTTTCTCTTGTTTTTTTTTTCCTACAGTTAATGTTTTCCTAAGAAATTATTTATTTTGTGTAGTTTTTAAAAGTATTTGCATAGAAGCATAGACAATTTTCTTGTAATAATTGGTTTTTAATTTGCTTCTGTTTCAAGATAATTTCCCCCATCATTTCTAATTCTGTATATTTTCCTCCTTTTTTCTTGATCAGGTTAAGCTACTGGTTTGTTTATTTTGTGATTTTTTAAACAATCAAGATTTAGATTTATTAATTAGCTCCATGATTATTCTCTACCTCATTAATTTTTGCTTTTATCTTCATTACTTTCTTGTGCTTTTGTTTTTGTTGTGTTTGGTGAATTTTTTTGGTTTAATTTTTAAAAACTATTGGACTTGGAAATTTAGTTCATTTATTTTTCTTCCTTTTTTTTTTATTGATATAAGTAGTTAAGTCTGTGAATTTTCCACTGATAACTGCATTAAATTCTTCTGATATGTCATGTTTTATTGTCATTACTTTTTAGAAATTCTATAATTCTGGTTTATATTTTTCCCTTCAATAAAGAATTTATTAATAGAGTTTTTTTAATTATCCAGATAGGAGGGAAGAGGTTATGTTAAAGTTGTGATCAAAGCATTATACTTTAGTTATTGTAAAACAGGGATAGTAATAGTCTCTACTGTTAGGTGGTAATGAAGGTAAATAGCAACAGCACATAAAAGTTTCTGTGGTCGTTTGGTAAATAGCAACTAAAAATATTCATTATTTTTCTCTACCCACAATATGCTAGACTACACAGAAGAAAAAATATAATTGTGTACAACATGAAATAACACGTTTACTGCTTCCTTTGTTCTTGTTAGTTGGTGTGCACAGTGTCATGAAACACGATGCCATTATGGATGGAGCCAGTCCAGATTATGTGCTGGTGGAGGCAGAGGCCAACCGAGTGGCTCAGGATGCTCTGAAAGCCCTGAGACTCTCTCGTCAACGGTGTCTGGGAGCAGTGTCTGGTGTTCCCACCTGGACCGGCCACAGGGGGGTTTCTGGTGCGCCAGGAATAAAGTAAGAGATTGATGCCCTGCCATGCTTATGAGAAAGCCAATCCATCCAGGCTTAGAATAAAGTCAGGGCAGACATGGATTTCTGTTTATCTGCAGTAGTAGAAAATCTTCCAAGGAGGGGTTGAGCCAGCCAACTTGTGTGACTTGGAGAAACACTTGTAATTTTACCTCCTTCTTCACTTTTGTCCCTTGCTTTCCAAAGCTAATTTTTCAGGGGAAGGAGAAATGATCTGCTTTGTTTTAAAAATGATGTTAAAAATAGTGACACTCTTAAAAAATAGTAACGATTAAACTTTAATCAGATGATTAGCCAGTTTTCAACAATTGGTAATTACTATGCTATTCAGTGTACTCCTTTAGAAGGATTTTCTTACCTGGGATTTGAGGGTAGTTTCCATCATATCGAACAAAGGATATTGAGTAGTTTTTACTCAAGATGCTATAGTTAACTTCCCAGGAGAATAAAGTAGAGGAGTCGAAGGGGAGAGAGCAGAAGCGTCATGGTTATGAAAGAAGAACCATGCGGAAGAACATTTTTCTAGGACGAGTTTAATGGTTGAAAAGACATTTTCATCTCGTAAGTCAAAAACGAACATTTTATCTACAATGATATTTGTCCTTATTTAGGAGTAGATTTGGTCAGAAAAGGAATTCCAGCTTCTCTGTGCAGCTGTCTTCTTCAGCATCTCCAAAGGAGAAATGCCAGGTAATATGAAAGCCTGTCTGCTTTTCACGTGTGAGACTTATTTGATTAAATTGCTATGAAAATTTAACCTGATTCCGATGTGAAGAAAATTGCTGTCATGGCGACACCTGATATTTGTGTGGTATGCTCTGATTTTGACACACTTAATTTGAATCTAAAAGGGCCAGCTACCTTCCTAAAAGAAAAAAATCTTTAACCCAAGATCTGTAGCAGAATCTCTGTTTTGCGCTCAGATAGTTAATACAAGAGTAGGTGACATATCAGTCACTGACCATACAACCTGCCCCATCCAAAGGTGAAGTACCAGCTCCAATGACCACCACCCTCTGGAATAAAGGTCTAGAAAATCACTCTGAATGTCATTTACTGCAAGAGCATTGTACCTGTCTCTCCCTGTCCTATAACTCCCTGAATGCCTTGAGTGCTTCTCTGAGAGTAAATACTAGGCCAGACTCAGTCAGTACTCTTTTTGGTCTTTTCTGGTTTAGGGTTATCTTACTGATAACATTGGGAATAGAGAACCTTTGTTGTTTTAAGGAAACACGTGTGAGATATAAAGTAGGAAAGAATAAAAATATTTAAAAGTGAAGAAAAAGAAGTACAGCTGTGATATTATTCCTTATCCCAACCCCTGGGCCACAAACCAGTACTGGTCAATGGCCTGTTAGGAACTGGGCCGCACAGCAGGAGGTGAGCGATGGGAAAGGGAGCAAAGCTTCATCTATATTTGCAGCTGCACCCCAGTGCTAGCATCACTGCCTCAGCTCCACTTCAGCTTAGCAGGCATGAGATTCTCATAGGTGCATCGGTCCCTGGTGCCAAAAATGTTGGGGACTGCTGCCTAATCCCACAGTACCTATTTAGATCAGGGTAAATTTGGGAGGAAGAACAAGGAAAGCCCACAGAACCCATGCCCCCTAGAGACAGTTTCCTAAAAGCCTTCTCTGGAAGCCTGTTCCCCATTCACTCTGCCCTCCCTCCATCCTCATTACTCAGAATGGTGACAAGTGAGTAGTGTAGCTGCGGAGAGGGGGTTCTTTTTTTTTTTTAGGAAATGTTCTTTAATGGTGGGTGGATTTAGATGCTTGATTCTGTGCCTTTCCCTCCGTGTTAGACGGTGTCTCATTCTTTCCCCATCAACTTCACTGCCCTGGGCGCATGTGTTATTTTATGACTGCAGAGCCTTTGGTGAAATAAGTGGAGCTATAAACTAGAATTTAAATATATCAATTCATTGGTCTTCTTTCTTCAGGATGGCATCATGAAAAAGGATGGAAAAAATCATGTTTCTGAGCAATTTAGTGGAAAAGTGGAAGATGCAGAATCCTTATCCAGGGCCCTCACTTCATCCTCACTCTTGGCTAAAATGAGGGCTAGAAACCATCTGATTTTGCCAGAGCGGTTAGAAAGTGAAAACGTGCAACTTCAAGAGGCTTCTGCTCCGCCACCCTCCACCACAGAACACGATGACCTTCTGGTAGAAATGAGAAACTTCATTGCTTTTCAGGCCCACGTGGATGGCCAGGCCAGCACTCGAGAGATACTACAGGAATTCGAATCCAAGTTATCAGCTTCACAGTCTTGTGTCTTTCGAGAACTATTGAGAAATCTCTGTACTTTTCATAGAACTTCTGGTGGTGAAGGAATTTGGAAACTCAAGCCAGAATACTGCTGATTAGCATTAATTTCTAAACTTCTAATTGACTTTTTCTAATGGAAAATTCTGGTTATTAATCCTATGATTAATAATCATGTTTGTTGACAGACGTTGGCTGCATTTGATATTTACTTTGAATGATATCTACCTCATAATTAAAACTTTAATGAAGAAGAAGTTCTTCAAAACTTAAAAGTATTAAAAATATTTGGGTTATTTTTTTTTTATTTGGTACTACAAATTATGTTATAAAATCAGGGACCTAACAGTTAATCCTTGGAATACATTTGTTCATTTTCCCAAAAGATGCTATCAGGGAGCACATTACTGTTCATGTAGATATCTGTAGACCAGAAATCTCAAAAATTATTTTTATTGGTGCTAAAAACATGTCTTATGTTCAGTCTGACCTGTTCAATAAATTAACTCATTGGTATCTGATAACAGCATTATTTTTAGTGCATAGCTTTTTAAAATGTTTATCATTTGCTACCCCAAAAAGATCAGATTTGTTATCTTTTGAATCATATTAATTGCCTTTAAATAATCTTTTAAGGGGCTGCTAAATTGGCAGGTATTTTTATTAGTAAAGCATGAAATAACTTGGTAATGGTAAGACGTGTGTTTGCAGAAAGTTGTAGTGTACTCAGTTTATACTGGCTTTACTTTAAGCAAAAGGTATCGATTTTCCCCTCTAGTGACTTGGTTTTAGAAAAATGAAATGTGTTATCTTAAAAAAAAAAAAAAAGGCAAGCAGAACCAAAAGTACAAATAAAGCAACCAACACACACCATGCACGGAAACAGCCCTCCAGACCACAACCAGATTTACCATCGTTACCACCTAGTGACTACTGTTCCAGCCTTCCTTCTGCTTCCATGCTGGGAAGTAACTGAACATTTTTAATTTTATTCAATTTCCTAAGGGTGCCGATTGCTTTATATTAGGCAGCACTGTTCTCCTCATGTATTTATTATCTTCTGTCCTGTTGTTTCCAATGTATCTTTTTTCTTTGCGTTCCCTCTGACTCTCCTATTTAAGAGGTTTACTTTTCAGCTGCATCTGTTCTCTTTCTGTTATTTATGTATTTATAGCTCTGTAAAAAAATTTATGTATTTATAGGTGTTTTTTTTTTGAGCCTCAGTTTTGCTTAGCCTTGTTTTTTTGTTTCCTTCTCATTGTTAAGATTTCAGCTCTGAAGTCTTGTTTTCTTAAATTCATTGCATTCCTTATATTTTTTTCTAGAACTATCACAGTGCAGTTTGTTTCTTGGATTTTTTTTCTCTGACTTGCCATTTGTCCTCTTTGATTGTTCTTTGTTAAGCTTTCTTTCCTCTCATGCCATTTCATCACCTCTTGCTCCTGGTAAAAGCGAGCATCTTCATCCAGATCTTCTGTATGCTCTTCCCTGAGACCCAGACAGAAAGGATCTGGGCTTGGGGATCAGGGAGAACTTCTGCTGGGCAGCCTGTAGCTTTGGTTGTAGGATTTGGGTTTTACTTTTACTTTTCCATTCTGAGATTTTTTAAATGGCTTGGGCCAAGAATCCCTTCCCTTTGGCAGGAGGTGTCGTAGAGTAGTTATTACCACCAGGATTCTTGAGGATTCTGTCTTTTTTTTTTTCCTTCTGTTTTTAGAGTGATTCATTATATGTTAGAGGAGGAAATTACTATTATTTTCCTCATTTTGCCATCATTATCTAGAAGTCATAGAAGTGATTTTTGAACAGGTCAATAAATCCTAAACCTGAGTACTTGGTTTAGAAGGAAGTCAAACTTAACTGTTTTGATTCTGGGAAGTTTTTTTTATTTTTATTTTTGTAATCATTAGCTTATAAGAGAATTGTGTCCGCCTTGTTCTCAGATTGAAGTACTGATGCAGGTCATGAGTGCAAAGTGTTTGGGCATCATATTATCTGAAGTGTGAAGTATATGGAGCTAGAGAAGTTGTAACCTTGTCAAGTAGAAAATGCCATCAAAAATTATGATTGCAGTAAAAGCCAAGTGGTCCTCACTCCAGTTCTTGTCTCAGCTCTGCCAGTGGCATGCTGTGACCTTGGACAGGTCACTGCCCTGCCTGTGTCTCAGTGTGGCTATCTATGAACATTATCATCATGCTTCCCTGGAGGAGAGACTTAGAGAAAGATGCTCTAAATGTAATAGTTTTAACAATATAGAGTAACTTATTCATTTAGATAAAATCTAATTTTTGGAACTTTAAAAGCTTTATACAGTGTAGATAGATTTAATGTGTATAACATGTCAGTATCAAGCTACAAATAAAAGATTTAAAAATGTTGTGAAATGTTTAAATTCCTTAGTTAATGCATAAATACACTAATACTGTTTTTAATATTGTAGGCAGTACTCTGTCTCCCCACCATTCTGCTCCTATTCTAGAGATAAGTGCTGTATTTGGTATATTCTTCCAGTCTGTTTTACAAATACTTGTGGCAGAGACTGCTGCTATAATGTCTGTTTTCTCCTTCCTTTACTGATAAGATCCCCAAGTTTTACCTGGACACTGCTCAGCTAAAGACTCTGTTTCCCAGCTGACTTTATAGTTAATGGTGGCCCCGTGACCAGGCAATGGATGTGAGAACTTCCACATTAGGTCCTTAACTAAGGAATTGGGTGTATACTCTTCCTGTCATTCCTTTTTCTTGTTGGCTGAGATGCCAATGGGAACTTAAGCAGTGTCATGGGATCCACAGTCATGTGTTGAGGATAGAGAAGTTGGCTTGCCAATTTTGAATTGCTTTTCTTGTACCATTACTGAGAGCAAAATAAATTCCTGACTTGCTTAAACCACTATCTTTTGGCATCTCTTTATTACAGCAGCTAGTTTTGTTTTGTATATGTGATTTACATAAATGGGATTATGTCATCATTATTTTGCAACTAACTTTTCATTTAATGTTATGTGCAAGATAGCTTTTCATTCCTGTAATTATAGCTCTACTTTCATAGAATTGCTGGATTAAAAATTATATAGATTTTTAATTTTAATGGATGTAATGAAACTTATCTTCAATTCACACTCCATAAAATGATCCATTCTCCACACCCTTGCCAACAGTAGGAAGTATCTTGGGAGTTTTTTTATTTAACCAATCTTATGGTTGAAAATATTTTTTTTAACTTGAATTTCACTAATCACTTTTAAAACCAAACATTGTATGTTTTTTGGTCATTTGTAGATCCTCTATTGTAGGGGTCTCCAACTCTTGGGTCACAGACTGGTACCAGTCTGTTAGGAACTGAGCCTCACAGCAGAAGGTGAGTGGGCAGGCAAGTGAGTGAAGCTTCATCTGCTCCCCAGTACTAGCGTCACTGCTTCGGCTCCACCTCAGATCATCAGGAATTAGATTCTCATAGGAGCACTGGTCCCTGGTACCAAAAATGTTGGGGATCGCTGCTCTATTGTATATTGCCTGTTCATGTCACATTTGCCTAGTTTTATTATTGGTTATTTATCTTTTAGGGTCCCCCCCCAACCAAGTAAAAATGAAAAGGCAGTTGTCTCAACTATTATTGAATAGTTTATTCTTTTCTCCACTTATTTGAAATGCCACGTTTATCATATGCTAAGTTGACTATTTCTGGACAATGGATCTAGATGTCTATTTTACCAAACCACACTCTTTACTGTCATTTGACTTTGTACTGTGTTTTGCTGTCTGTTGACACCCTCTTCGTTGTCTTATTCTTGTACATTTTTTGTTTCAGGTAAATCTTAGAATTAGTTTAAGTTCTATTAAAATTGTGTTCTTTTGATTGGGATTGCATTAGTTTATCCATTAATTTGAGGATAATAGACTTTAATATAATTTTTCCCATTAGTATCATGATAGGCCACTTTTTATTAAAGCATTTTATATTCTTGGATAAAATTTTAATAACTTTCTTCATAAAAGTCTTGCACATTTCATATTAGGCTTATTCTTAGGTATTTTATAGATTTTTAGTTTTGGTTGGGAGTCTTAATTTTACATAAAAATGTGAGGAACTAGGATATTCATGTATCTACTTCATTTATGATGTCATTTATTATACAGAAATTTTTGATTTAAATATAGTAAAATTTAGTCTTTCTATATTTTATTTAAGAACCCCTTTAATAACCTGAAGTCATGATTACATTCTCATAAATTCTCTTGTAAATTCCATGTGGATGGTTATTTTTCTTAGTACTTTTTAAAAAAGTAGTTCATCCTTACCTTCTTAATTTATAAAGCCACATCTATAATTATATCTAATTTCCATGTAATATGAGAATGTTTCTGGGCTCTGTGTCCTGTTAAATGGGTCCACTTATCTTTGCCAATAACCTGTTTTAATCATCATAGCTTTATAATTGGCTATCATATATGATAGAATGATTCCCTTCATCTTCCAAAAATGCATTAGTTCTTGGACTTTTGTTCCATATAAATTTTGGGATCACCTTGTTATATTTGGATTTTGTTGTTTTCAAAATGATAATGACTTTATAGATTGCTTGGGAAAGATTGTTTATGATATTGAGTTTCTCATCTATGAATAGGGCATATTGCTCCATTTTATAATACATATTTATTACAAAAGACAATTCCATTCTGTCTTTCACTTATATTTTATAAGATTGTGCACATATTGATTCCTAATTATCCAACAGTTTTGTTTGCTATAGTAAGTGATATTTAAATCATTTTCTAGTTTTACTGTTGGTTTTTACATAGTAGACATATCTAGCAACCATTATCATGTCAGATGCAAATAAAAGACAGTCAGTCGTATTTCATTCACTCTAATACTTATATATTTCTATGATAATGTAAATGACAGTGGTTGACATCCTTATCTTATTCCTGACATTGAAGATAAGCTAAAATTTTACTATTAAATATGTTGTTTTCCAGCAGATGGTCTTTATTAAGTTAAGAAAATGTTCTTTTCATTCCTAAATCCAGTGCTGAATTTATTAAATGCTTTTCCTGCATATCTTGACTTAATTGTATAAATTTTTCTCATTTAAATATCTCTCAGTGTCAGAAAATACACAGTTAAATTTTCCAACATTAAAACATATTTTAGATTTCCACTTCCAGAATGGCATGTGAGGGACCCCAAGGACCTACTATCCAGAAAGCAACTGTAACTGGACAAAATTCCAAAAGTGAGAGTCTATTACTTTTGAGCCACAACCTATCCACCCCGCGCCCCCAACCCCCTATCTCTGTGATGACAGATGCTGTAATCCAAGTGGATTTAGCCAGGAAAATGGGAATCTGTCCCTCAATTCCAAATCAAGGGATACAGTATTAACTTAGAAGGGCATGTTGCCAGCATGTCTATCCTCCCCAGCTTTAAGGAGCAGAGGCTAAATCCATTGATTTAAAAAGTATAGTGACAAATTAATAACTCAGTAGACAGGTTCATCGGTAGATATGAAATAGGAGAAAGATTCAGCCTACTTGCAGATAGATCAATAGAGATTTTGCTATCCAAAGTATAGAGAAGAAAAAGAATAAAGAAAAATGTACAAAGCGTCAGGGAAACAATACACTGTTAAGTGCATCAGTGTACACAAAATGAGAGTGCCAGGAGAGAAGTGAGAAAGGAGAAGAAACAAACAATGACTGAAAACTTCTCAAATTTAATGAAAAACATCCATGGAGCTTAATGAACTCCAAGCAGGATAAATGCAAAGGGACCCACAGACATATCAGTAAAAATGCTGAAATCAAAGACAAAAAAATTCTGAAAGTAGAAAGTAAAAAATTATGCATCCTAAGAACTTCAATAAGATAAACAGTTAATTTCACAGAGGAAACAATGGAGGCCAAAAGGTAAGGATAACATTCAAAATGCTCGAAGAAAAAAACCAAGAATCCTATGTCTAGCAAAGGTATCATTCAAAAATGAAGGTGAAATAAAGACTTCTGATATAAACAAAAACAGAAAAATCTGTTGCTATTAGACTTGCCTGACAAAAAATACTAAAGAAAGTTCTTGAGGCTGAGAGCAAGTGACTTCAGATAGTAATGCAAATCCACATAAAGAGTTCTAGTAAAATTAGATTCTGTAGTAAAAATGTCATTATAAATGACACTATAAATGCATGTTTTTCTTTAAACTGATTCAAACAGCAGTTGTATAAACATGTATAATGTATTGCTGGCCTATAACATACAGAAATGTAATATATGTGTAACATATTTGCTAATAATAGCACAAAGGAGTTGAGTGGGAGTAAAGCTGTAATGGGCTAATGAAATGAAGACACGATAAAATTATAATTAATGTAATGTATTATATTAATATGTATCACTACAATGCTGCAAATAAAAAGGAGAAAGGCAATAGAGCTATATAGGAGTAATGTTTTTATCCCTTATTGGAGCTAAACTAATAAATCTGTAATAGGTTCTGATAAGTTAAGAGTTATATGGTAGATCTTAGAGTGATCACTAAGAAAATAACTCAAAAACATTAATGAAATGAAAATACTATGTTGGAAAATATTCATTGCAAAAGAAAACAGCAAAAGAGGACAATAAGAACAAAGAAGTCATGAGACATAGAGAACAAAAAATAAAGGGGCAGATATAAACCCAACTATATCAGTAATAAATGTGAATGAATTAAATAATTTAATCAAAAGTCGGATTGTCAGATTAAAAAAAAAAGTCTACACTTTAGATTCAAAGACAAGAAGAATGGAAAAATATGCAACGGCAACCACAGGAAAGCTGAAGTGTTATACTAATATCAGACAAAATAGACTTCAAAACTGATAAAAATGTTACTAGAGATAAAGAAGGACATTTTATAATAGTAAAAGGGTCAACCCATTGAGAAGATATAACAATTATAAACATATACACCTAATAACAGCATCAAAACACATGAAGCGAAAACTGGCAGAAATAAAGAAAAATAACAATAATAGTTGTAGACTTCAATACCCCATCTTTAATAGTGGATAGAAAAACTAGGTAGAAGATCAACAATGAAATAGAAGATTTGACCAATACTATAATCCCACTTAACCTAAAAGACATCTATAGAGCATTCCACTCAACAATTACAGAATATACATTCTCAAGTGCACATGGGACATTCTTCAGGATAGACCATATGCTAGGCCATAAAACAAACCTGAGGGAATGAAAAAGGATAGAAGCATGACCTAAAACAATAAAACTCTTAGAAGAAAACAGGACAAAAGTTTCATGACACTGGATTTTGCAATGATTTCTTGAATATGGCACCAAAGGCATAGGTAACAAAAGAAAAAATAGATAAATTGTACTTCATGAAAAGTTTTTAAATTCATGCTTCAAAGACACTACCAACAGAGTAAGAAGGCAACCTACAGAATGGGAGAAAATATTTGTAAATCACATATCTGATAAGTGATTAATATTCAAAATATATAGAGAACTCCTAAAACTCAACAACAAAAAACCCAATTAAAAAATGGGCAAAGAACTTGAATAGACATTTCTTCACAGAATATGTACAAATGACTAATACACAAAAAGATAGTTAACATCACTAAGGAAATGCAAATCAAAATTACAATGAAGTATTACCTCATCCCCATTAGGATGGCTACTATAAAAAAAAAGTGTTAACAAAGATGCGAAGAAATTGGAACAATTGCACACTGTTGGTGGGAATGTAAAATGATACTGCCACTGCAGGAAAGCAGTATGGCAATTCATAAAAAAATTAAAAATATAATTACCATATGATCTAGCAATTTCACTTTTGGATATATACCCAAAAGACTTGAAAGCAGAGTCTGGAAGAGATATTTTAAC